CAGACGCACGCACTGACTGACAGACACACACACTCACTCACTGAAACACACACATTCACTAACACACATTTTCTCACACTCATTTTTTTATTTAAATCCACCCAGCCTCCCTACGTTTGGGATAGCTGGGTGGACTTCTCACCTGGGGTCCAGTGGGGCTGCTGGGCAGGGAGGCGGCCAGACGTGCAGTTTTCAGCGAGGGCGCACTTTCCCCTCAGCTCCCAGCATCATTGCAGGTTGCATTGAAAGTGCTCTCTCGCCGCCCGCCCAGGAATCCACTGTCCGCCTGCCTCGGGGGAGCCTAGTGGGGAGATATGGGCTGTGGTACGGGGTCAGGGGCTGAATTGGGGAATGGCTGCAATTGGAGAAAAAAAGGCTGTTATGTGGGAGATATGAGCTGCAATTGGATAAGAGTGACTGTAGTGGGGGATAGGGACTTTGGTAAGAGAATAAGGGTTGTAGTTGGAGGGATAGAGGCTGTAGTAGGGAAGTTAGGGGCTGCAGTGGGGGATAAGGACTGTAGTGAGGGGTTCTGGGCTACATTTGGGGGTAGGTACTGTAGTGTGGGATAGGTGCTGCAGTAGGGGTGGGGGTATGGGACTGTAGTAGGGTGCTTAGGGGATATGAGCTACTTTGGGGCATGGGGGTTCAGTGGGAATAAGGAGCTGTAGTGGAGGGGTTCGGTGCTGTAGTTGGGTTAGGGGCTGTTGTTGGATTAAAGGGGCTTTAATAGGGGGTTTGGGGATGTAGTAGGGTATGGAGGCTGCAATTTTACAGTAAGGGGCTTGTAACGGATCACCTAGTACCCCGACTGGGCACCTCCGTTGACGGACTCTTCCTAGCTGACGCCGAGGACCATAAGCACCGCACCGGAAAACACGACCACCGCAGACTCCACAACCGCCGTAGCTTAACTGGAATCACACCGTCTTCCTTCCACCCTGGATCAACCTCTGTCCTCCAGGACCGTGTGGGAAAGACCTCTCCTCCAGGAGAGCGTATCAGGAACAGCTCTTAAAAGAGCTAAGTGATTAGAGCTCAGGGGAGTATAAAAGTATAGCAGTTCCCTACAATAATGAGACAAGACTACGTATTGAGGGTTAAGCAGGAACAGAAGGAACTGAGGCTTTATTTATTTATTTATAATTTGTATTTTATTGTAGTTTGCACATACAAATTACAACTGTTCGCAGTATGAGATAAGTAAGAGAATAAAACAGTAGTTACACATGGTCTAAGATAAGGCAATACATACATTATGTCACCTCAGAGGTAAGTATGAAACCATGTGTTACATTCAGGGCCACCCTTATGCCTTTAGGCGCCCCGTGCGACAAATCTCCACTGCGCCTCCCCCGTCATCTATGTATTATGTAATGTTTGTGTTGTCTGTGTATGTGATAGGTGTGATGACTGTGTGTGATATGTATGCTATGTGTGATATCTGTATTGGGTGTATTAACTGTGTGTGATATGCGTGTATTGGTTGTATGTGATATTTGTGCTGGGTTTATTGGCTGTGTGTGATGGGTATTTAATTCAGATAAAAATATGCATTTAGGCCTGTGTGTAAATGCAGGTGTATATTTTTGCAGAGTTATGTGCACACAGTCCCACAGTCAGATGCACAAAGTTTATACATATACACTGTCAAAGACACCACATGCACATAGTCGCAGGCAGATAGTCACATACACAGGATCAGGCAGTAACACACATACACAGTTACAGGTAGATAAACATACTCACACACAATTACAGGCAGACAACCACACATACAGTCTTAAACACTTAAACACACACAGCCACACATACAGTCTTACACACATATACTTACATGCAGACAGTCACACACACAGTCACACACATACACAGGCAGACAGCCACACACACAAACATACACAGGCAGACAGTCTCACACACTCAGAGGCAGATGGCCATACACACACAGGAAGACATCCACACACACAGGAGAGCAGTTACGCACACAGGCAGACAGTCACACAGAGGCAGTCACACACACACGCAGGAGGCCATACACACACAGAGGCAGGCAGCCATACACAGAGGCAGACAGCCACACACACACACAGGCAGGCAGGCAGACACACACACACACAGACTCTGGCAGACAGTCAGATTTAGTTCAATTAGACGAACGGCAACCATTTGTGCAAACAGTCAATGTTAAAGTGCTGTTCGAATTGTCAAACGGTGTTTGACTCCAGTCGAAGCGTCGAAGTCTGGAGAAGGTAAAGTTCAGCGGTGTTCGTGCCGTCGCATATCCGATTTGAGTTCCATGAACTCGACGACCAAACACCGCTGAAGGCGTTCGACTGAATTAAAATAGCCGCCGCCACGTGTTCGTATGTCGAATGGCGACTACTTCGGCACTTCAGCTGCATCCAAAGTGCCACTTCAAAAATGCAGAACTGTTCCAGTACCATTTAAAGGGGCAGAAACAGTGCTCTGAAATACAATAGGCACAAATAGAGTTTTTAAAGGGCAATACACCCCAGGGGCCATAGTCACAGGGCAAGAAGGCCTCTCCAAAAGCCAATGGAGAAGGGTAGTTCGTTACAGGGCTGTAGTAGGGGGTTATGGGTTAAAGTAGAGTATGGGGGCTGTAGTGGGGAATAAAGGACTGTAGTAGGGTGTAGTTTATGTAGTAGGGGGATAGGGGCTGTAGTAGGGTGTGTGGGCTGCAATTGAGGGTTAGGGGCTGTAGTAGAAGGCTAAATGATGTAGTCTAATGAGGGATGCTATGTTTAACTTGCTATGTCTTTCAGATTTCCTTACAAAAGAGTTGATATACACTATACTCTATGGGCATTTCATTGTATCATTCACCTGTCATTCCATAGAATGAAGGGGGGGGAACCTACTGCCCCCACCCCTGGGCGGCGGGTGGGCGCCATAATGAGAATGAGGTGGGGACCTACTGCCCCCCCCGGCCCCCACCCCTGGGCGGCGGGTGGGCGCCATAATGAGAATGAGGGGGGGACCTACTGCCCCCCCCGGCCCCCACCCCTGGGCGGCGGGTGGGCGCCATAATGAGAATGAGGGGGGGACCTACTGCCCCCCCCGGCCCCCACCCCTGGGCGGCGGGTGGGCGCCATAATGAGAATGAGGGGGGGACCTACTGCCCCCCCCGGCCCCCACCCCTGGGCGGCGGGTGGGGGCCCATAATGAGAATGAGGGGGGGGGACCTACTGCCCCCCCCACCCCCACCCCTGGGCGGCGGCAATAATGGGGGGGGTCCAATGCCCCCCCCCGGGCGGCAGGTGGGGGCCATGAAGATAATGGGGGGGGACCTACTGCCCCCCCCGGCCTCCACCCCTAAACGACAGGTGGGGGCCCTAAAATAAGGGGCGAGATCTAATGTCGTCGTCCCCCCCTGCGCGGCGGGTGGGGGCCATAATGATTACGAGGGGGGGACCTACTCCCCCCCCCGCGGCCCCCACCCCTGGGCGGCGGGTGGGGGCCATAGTGAGAATGAAGGGGGGGAACCTACTGCCCCCCGGCCCCCACCCCTGGCCCCCACCCCTGGGCGGCGGGTGGGCGCCATAATGAGAATGAGGGGGGGACCTACTGGCCCCCCCGGCCCCCACCCCTGGGCGGCGGCCATAATTAGAATGAGGGGGGGGGACCTACTGCACCCCACCGGCCCCCACCCCTGGGCGGCGGGTGGGGGCCATAATGAGGGGGAGGACCTACTGCCCCCCCCTGCCCCCAGGCGGCGGGTGGGGGCAATAATGGGGGGGGACCTACTGCCCCCCCCGGCCCCCACCCCTGGGCGGCAGGTGGGGGCCATGAAGATAATGAGGGGGGGGAACTACTGTCCTCTCCCCCCGGCCCCCATCCCTGGGCGGCGGGTGGGGGCCCTAAGTCAATTCCCCCCACCCCCGCCCAAGGTGACTAGGGGTCCCCAAGCCCCTAGTCACCCAACCCCGCACCCAAAAAAAAAGTCCCTACCTACCCCCCTCACCCTAAAAAATAGTGAGGGGGGAATAAAATAACTAACCTGTAAAATAAAATTAAACTTACCATTCGACGCAAAAAACCCGAGCGCAAAAAAATAATCCATCTTCACCCATGGAGAGCTCCGCGCAGACTGAGCTCCGCAGGGTGGGGAAGGCTTATAAAGCCTTGCCCCGCCCTGCAATTAGGCTAAGAACACTCTGATTGGTGGGTTTAAGCCAATCAGAGTGCTCTTTGTCATTTTACACAGCGTGGGAAAATTCAAAAGAATTTTCCCACGCTGTGTAAAATGACACAGAGCACTGTGATTGGATGGATTTCAAGCTTTTCAAGTTTTTTTTTTTTTTTTTTTACAGTGAGCAGCCACAGGCTGCTCACTGTTTAGTGGACATGCTCTAGCGAGTAGGGGCAATGGGGAGATTTTAATCTCCCATGTGCTATCATAGAGTGAGGGGTGACCTGGGGGGGGGGGAGGGGCTTATGAAGTGGTGGGGAGCACTGCTCCCTGCCGCTTCTATATTTATATATTACAAGGAGGGAGCTGCGTGCCAGTAGCTCCCTCCTTGTAATAACCTGCACAAACAAACATACACTGATACATAGTGTTTGTTTGTTCGGCTGATATTTCTATTCACTCATTTGTCTGTCTGATGAATGAATGAATAGATGAAATTCCCGTTCGCATGTCCAGGTGTTTCACTGGGCACGTGCGGGAATCTCACAGTCTGTCTAGTGTGGGCTGATGACGTGTCCCACTTCATCTATCCCCACAAAGATGGCGGCACCCTGAATAAAGAATGGGGCAGAAAATAAAGATTAAAAAAAATTAATGTGGGGGGCTTAGGGGCATTTGGGGGTGACTAAGGGGTCAGTTAGATGTAGTGGAAGCCGGAGGGGGATTAAAAAAAAAAAAAAAAAACAGCATTCGGCATGACAGTGCAGCTTTAATTTCCATTAAGTTTCCGAGGCATGTTTGTAAAGTGTATAAATAAAGCTAATTTAATGGAGGGAAAAAAAAAATGAATATCCCTACGTTTACATATGACACCACTTCCTATAGCCTCGCCACTTCCTATGCCTTTGCCAGCCACAAGATGGCGGCTCCCTGGCGTTTTGTGGTTCCAGCTGCCTGTGTTTGGGCTCATGGCTGCCGCTCGTTTTCATCGTCCAGTTTACCGACCTCAGCGGCCATCCGGCGCACATTTTTACAGTATTTCCAAGAGTTACACGGCCACAAGTTTGTCCCGTCCTCCTCAGTGAGGCCCCGAGGTGACCCCACGCTGTTATTCGTCAACGCCGGCATGAACCAGGTGAGCGTGTCACGTGACATGGCGCAAGCGCCGCCGCATTGGCGCTTTAAAATGACGCGGGTTTTTTTTTTCGTTTCCCTGGCAACAGGTATGCTGGGACCGTGCCGCGGAAGTCCTAATGCTAGTTTAATTATCACAGCTTATTATAATAAGTGTGATGGGAAGGAAACCGCTCGGGTCTGCCCATTAATAACACTCCCTGGAATATTTGGGAGTTATCACAATGTGTTAAAGCAATAAAACATTTACAGTGACGTGTTTGTTGTGTTTGTGTGTATAATTGGAAAGCTCCCACGTTGGTCACTTCGCCCTGAGAAATGACAGTCCTTCCATAGGGCATGGTGTATAACAAGAAACAAAAACACAGATATTTTTTGTTTAATATAAAAAAATAAAATGGTTATTTGTTTTATAGTGTGATAGTTATTTGGCAGATATTTAGGTAAGTAAACATTATGAGTGCCGTGTGCACGTCTACTAAACAGCGCCTGATTGGTTACTTGCATGGCTCAAGATTTACCTATCAGAGCACTCTTATTTGTTCACTTAAACTAAGCTCTGAGTCAAATTGCAGGGTGTAGGGAGGCTTTATAAGCCTTTCCCCGCCCTGCGGACCTCAGTCTGCGCGGTGCCCTCGCTGGGTGAAGATGTGGGCACTCGGGGTGGAATCTTTACTTGGTTTTAGTAAATTTATCTGAAAGACCAATTTAGGTATTTAAGCCTTTTAGTAGATAGCTCCCTAATACCATGGTAATTAGGGAGCTATTTACTAAGTGGCTGCAAGATGCAGCCGTGGCACAAATAGGATCGATATTTAATTCATTTGAATTAAATTCTGATCCAAACAAAAAGTACAGAATTGCGTCCTAACACTAATGGACAAACTATTCTCATTCTGTTAGAGCGAAACTCAATAGTTTTGCTGGCGTTCGAACGGTGAACGATGCAACAGGATGAAAGGTGAGTATTGTGGGAAATTGCTTTGATCACAGGAAATGGAGCGGACGTAGCTTCTTCTGTGGGTCAAAGCTGGTCAAGCGTAGGAAAAATACTTAAGACAAAATACTTTGTCTTATGTTTTAAAGAAAACTAGATCAGTTAGGAAGAAAAGAAGAACAGATCCTGAGAGAGGAAGTGATTGGGGAAAGGTAAGTTTGGCATGTCAAAGCCTCTTTAAGTGATCTGATGTGGTCATAGTGCTTGGAGTCTATATTTGCAGAATTTCACTGAGAAATGCTGCACATAAAGAATTAAAGTAACTCAACCTCTGGCAGCATCATTAGCCAGCCCAAAACAAGAGTTCCCGTCTGGCTAATGTTAAATTTGTGCGTAATGGGCGTCAGCACACTTGGCACACTTAGAATACGACCAATGGTGTTTTGTGCAGTGATGGGAAGTAGGGATTGACCGATTATCAATCTGGCCGATATTATCGGCCGATATTCAGTATTTTCTGCAATATCGGTATCGGCCTATAGAGATACCGATATTGCCGATAATGCATACCAGGACCGCCGGGCCCATTACAAGCCAGGTGGTCCTCGGGAGCCCAGCAAGCGCTTACTTACCTTTCCAGCAGCTCCCTGTGTAAATCTCGCGAGTCTCGCAGCTGTTGGAGCGTTGCCACGGGTTACCATGGCAACGCTCCGTGCGGCACGCAGGCCATGAGATTTACACAGGGAGCTGAAGCCGGCTGCTGGAAAGGTAAGTAAGTGCTTGCTGGGCCACCACTGTACTTTCCATGCCACCGGACCACCAGGGAATACTATATCTCACCTCCCTCTTAAGAAGCAGGGAGGGGGGACTAAAAAAATAAATAAAACATTTAAATATTAAAATGAAAAAATGCCCCTGCTCCATTTTACACAAATTACATCCCTACACAAACACACACACAGACTCTGCATTCAATATATATATATATATATATATACACACACACACACATTGTATTCACTATACACACTCTACACAAACACACACTCTGCATTCACTATATATACACACTACACAAACACTCATTGCATTCACTATACACACTACACAAACACACTCATTATATACACAAATACACACTGCATCCACCACACAAACACACACAGCTCCCCTGTCTAAACACACTGCATCCACTATATGTGGCATGTATATTTTGTGCATTTACCTTTAGAAATAGTTTATTTTTTCAAAATGGTAAATGTACAGAATATCGGCACGTTATCGGCCTGAAAGTTCACAGATTATCTGTATCGGCTCTAAAAAATCAATCCCTAATGGGAAGTGTCATTTCAATTCAGATATCTTAAACAGTGCACTGCACATTGGTAACTCTTACCACACTACCAACGGACCCCCAGTGCACCTCTAGCACACCTACTGCATTCCCACCCTATCCCCTTTTTAGCGTCATATGTGTAATGTGTGTTTATATCTTTTATTGCTAAGCGTCCCGGCACTTAAAACCAAACCACTAGATCCCAAATCCTAATACATGTTTAAAGGGACACTGTAGGCACTCAGACCACTTCAACTAATTAAGTAGTCTGGGTGCTGAGACCCCTTTGCACTTAGTGCTGCAATGTAAAAGGGACATTGGCGCTGAATTCAGGTAAGTAGCTGAAGGGGTTTTATGGCCATGGCCCTCAGCAGCTATATCACCCCACACCATCCTTTAATGACACTCAGCCATTGTCCCGAAGGAATAAAAGGAGTGGGATAAAGGTATGTTAATTCTCGGGGTCAAGGAGAGCAGGGCATGAACCCAGGTAAGTAATATTAAAGGACCACTATAGGCACCCAGACCACTTCAGCTTAATGAAGTGGTCTGGGTGCTTGATCCAGCTAGGGTTAACCCTTTCTTTTATAAACATAGCAGTTTCAGAGAAACTGCTATGTTTACACTGAGGGTTAATACAGCCTCTAGAGCCTCTAGTGGCTGTCTCATTGACAGCCGCTAGAGGCGCTTGCGTGCTTCTCACTGTGAAAATCACAGTGAGAAGACGCCAGCGTCCATAGGAAAGCATTGTAAATTGTAAATGCTTTCCTATGAACTGGCTGAATGCACCCGCGGCTCCTGCCGCGCATGCGCATTCAGCCAATGATGTCGCTAGGAAGGAGGAGAGGAGGAGGAAAGCTCCCTGCCCGGCGCTGGAGAAAGGTAAGATTTTAACCCCTTCCTCTCCCCAGAGCCTGGCTTTGTTTGTTTGTATGTTTTCCTGGCACTATAGTGGTCCTTTAATGAAAAGAAGAGAGGCTCTTTGCCCAGGTTGATAAATGATATGGCAATTAATACATAGCTTTTAATAATTTATTAATTAAGAAGGCATACATAGCTAAGTGACAAGATTGATCGAGTGTTAAACATAAGATACTAAGTAAACTGTTTACAATATATACAAGAGAAATAAAATATATACAAATACTGAAGTTTACTCCAGGATATGTGAGGGAGTATTTGCAGGCAGACGAGAATGGCAACAATAATGGAGAATAAGGTCCTTTAAAAATATTAAGGCAACATGTAGCCAGTGTCAAAGAGATACATCGGTTGCTTGATTAGTGCTGCTATACTGTGCAAATTTGATTGGCTGCCACCATCTTCATTATGTGGCTATATATGTGTTGAATAGGAAGCATTTAAAGAAAACGGACATCCAGGTCACTTGCCATTCATGTACATGCGTTCTGTTGTTAAATATATTATATTTTAAGTTACTGGTGTAATGTAACTCATGGAGAGTCAGGTAACTCTAAATTCTCAGCAATGTAAAAAAAAAAAAAAACACAGTTACTGTGTGTATATATAGATCTTCCAGTAATAAAACTCATAGGTAGCAAGTTGGTATTAAAATTCAAAGTAATATATGTAGCCTTATATCGCAGAGATGCACAACACTAAAATCGTAATGAACATTGTGTAGAAGAGTATAACAAAAGTGTGAATTCCGTATATCGGAGCTCTATGTCCATATAAAACAAGTGCAGGGTGTGGGTGTGTATAAGTTTGTTAAACTTTACATTTTGGTGAACAACCGGGGAAAGAGTTTATCCCTGAGTATTTATTTATAAGACCAGATTTGTATAAAAGATTGGTCATTAAGCTCTTAAATGTATCAGTATCAATGTATTCTATTTTTAATTTTGATAAAATGTGAAGCTTAGGTAAAAACAAAGAAAAGAGGGAGAAATTAAACCTTTGCTCAAAACAAAAATAACAATTGCAGTTTAAATATGAATATTTTCCAAGCCCAGCCCTACTGTTTCACTGTTTTTCACCTTGCAGTGATAGTTGCATAATAGCTTTTTTTGCCTAACATCGCCTTTACAGTTTAAACCCATTTTCCTTGGCATGGTGGATCCTCGCAGTGAGATGGCACAGTATCGTAAAGTGGTAAACAGCCAAAAGTGTGTGAGGGCAGGCGGGAAACACAATGATCTGGACGATGTTGGGAAAGATGTATATCATCATACTTTCTTCGAGATGCTCGGGAACTGGTCTTTTGGTGATTACTTTAAGGTATGGCTCTTGCTGTTAATTGTTAGCAGTCAGCATTTTTGCTAAAACCATAACAATACAATAAACTGAAGACTTTGGGGATGTTCCTTAAAAGGGAAATTATATGGTTCTGTATGCCAAACATCAAACTTTGCTGAAAGTGGTGGGATTTTGACCGTGTTGACAATTCTCATATCACATACAGCCAGCTCACACCACACACACACATCTCATACAGCCAGCACATACCACACATACACACACATTACATAAACAAACATTGCATATAGACAAAACACACCACATATAAATAAATTGTACAGACCAAGCACAATGGTGCAGCACTCACTGCACAACACACACATGACATAAAATCAACACACACACTATGACAGTGGGATGCACTCTGGGAGGTCATAGGGTTAGACACTCAAGGGTAATTCATAAAGCTGAACAACTGACGCAAATATAGCCATGGTGTGGATGTAGTGGAGTTACAGAATTTCCAGACAAACGATTCTGTATTTGTGAAAACGCCATGAGTTTATGTCAATGTCCAGGTCTCTTAGCAGAGATCCAAATCTTTGTAAATTATTTTATTTTGTGTCAGGACAAATAGATTGTCATGGCGGACAAGTCGATTATCCTTTTTTTATTTTTTTTTTATTTTTTTTATTCCACACCTCTGCATTATTCAATGAATACATTTCTGTCAATTTGAAAATCCTCTTTTGTGCTTTCAAATAATTTCAAATACTATATAAATGTAGAATTGGGACATTTGGGGGAAAAACAAAACTTGTCAGTGAATGTCATTTAGAAAGATACACATTTGCAAAATTACCAAGTTACCATTCATTGCTTTTGCAACCAAACAATAATTGTAAATACTGTTTGCCTTGTGGCAGTGCTAGTGGGCAACATGACCAGTTCAAAGTTCTGATAGTAAAAAAAGGGTATTTCAAGATACTACTTTCACCTGTTATTTTATATACCTTTTCTTAAGGTTAACGGTTGCCTTTTTCTTAGGAGAAATCATGTACCATGGCCTGGGCTCTCCTCACTGATGGATATCAGATTCCTGCAGAACGCCTCTACGTCACTTATTTTGGTGGAGATCCAGCGCTGGGACTGGCAGCTGATGAGGAGACTAAAGAGATTTGGCTCAGCCTGGGGTAAGTACAAAATAAATCATGTGAGAAAAAATATCCTGATAGCTACAGGTTCCTAGAATTAAATATATAACGTGTCAAAAAAATACTTAGTAGAACTCAAAAATATTCTAGACGAAGCATTTTCTCTATCTCTGATCTCTAAGGATGGATATAATTTTATGTTCATAAAAAAAGTCCCGTGACTGCCACCTTTTATTTACTTCCAAAAGTACATAAAAGGCAACCTGTACTTAAAGATAGACCAATTGTCTCAGGCAGATCCAACTTGACTCAAAATATGAGTGGATCAGATTATGAGGAAATCCGTTATCGAACTCCCTTCATATCAAAGATACCAAACACACATTAAATACTATAGATGGAATAAAGTTGTCTTATAATTCCATCCTATGGAGTCTGGACGTTGAGAGCTTATATAGCTCTACCCCACGTGAGGTAGGCTTGCAACATCTAAAAGCCTTCCTAGACATACGCCCAGCAGCATCTCCAAGACCTAACCAATTTGTCCAGGATTTGATGCATTTTATCCTCACACACAATTATTTCGTTTTCCAAGGCAAACACTACCACCGGGTGAGAGGGACAGCTATGGGGACAGCTTGTGCCCCCTCATATGCCAACCTCCACCTGAGTTGGTGGGAAAAGACTACGGTGTTTGGCACAAACTTGGATAGGTACATCAGATATCTCAGACTTTGATAAAGATATATGGATGATATTCTAATAGTATGGACGGGTACCCTCAAAATTTTCAAAGAATTTGTTGCGGTACTCAACACCAATGACATTAATCTGAGACTTACCAGCAAAATAGGGGGGAAGAAAATTAATTTTCTAAATATCACTATTATGATTATGGATGATGGTTACCTGATGACTACACTGTATCGCAAACCAACAGTGACCAATAATTTCCTAAACTGGGATAGCTATCATCCTCCGGCCTTCAAAAAGGGTATACCAGTGGGACAATATTTGCGCCTTCGATGCAATTGTTCCACAATAGAGGATTTTAAACTAAAGGCTAAGACACTGAAAAACCAGTTTAGAAACAAGGGCTATCCAAATAGATGCCTTTAGATGACATAAAAGCGCGCACTTCTAGCGGACCGCAAGGAACTTCTAGCAGAGGATATCCACAAAGAACCCTCACAGGAGACCATTAGATGCATAGGGAACTTTGATGCCGGCTGGCACTCAATAGTAAAGATTCTTGGAAGACTCTGGCTCCTATTGCACCAAGATCCACACATACACAAAGTGATAACTCCTCATGCCTCAGTTACAGCAAGAAGAGGCCGCAATATCAAAAACCTCTTGATCCTTAGTCATTTCAGAACCACCCCCCATAAGCAAACATGGCTTAAATCTCCAGTGCTGGGCACCTACTAGTGTGGCAGGTGTAAGGCCTGCAAATTCATACGTCGACCATCCAAGAAATTCTCAGATTCCACGAATACTCAAGAATTTAATGTTAGAACATTCTTATTTTTTTTTTAAATTCTTTATTTAGAGTTGACATAAATTACAGAGATAATCCTTGCAGAGTTTCTTATCCAATGCAATATTAGTACAATAGATATAAAATAGCAAATACAAATCTATTTCACATCGTTAGGTAGATAACGGTACAGTGACATGAAATTTACATATCTGAAGGCCGTACATATTGGTCTTATCATATCTGGTCATATGGTTGTAAATATCCAGTCAACATGAGTTTTTATTTTAAATAAATAATATCAGAACATAGACCGGTCTAGCAGTATGGTACAAAAATAGGTGATTGACAATCTGGAGGTCGTACCCATGGGCCTTACGGTCCTCTTCCACACCGTGGTTTGGTGATGTTTTGTTTCTAGGAGAGTGGTCTGTGCCCCACTCTCCAACCATTGGCCCAGACACTATGATGTATCAGCGGTTTACTGTGGGCCGCGGTGGGACTACAAGGCACTTCCATCGGTTAGTGAGAGTCCGAAGAAGAGTCTGATATCTGCATTCTCCGTGCCTCTCACACCTATATATGGGCTCAATGTACAATCACCAATTGGTGTTAAGTCCTCCCCTTGAGGTCGGGGATAAGTTACAGCTAGTAAGATAGATAAAGATTAGATAGAGCAAGATGAAAAGAAGAGCGTGGGAGTGGTATGGGGGGTGGGGCGATATAGAAACATAGAATGTGACGGCAGATAAGAACCATTCGGCCCATCTGGTCTGCCCAATTTTCGAAATACTTTCATTAGTCCCTAGTCTTATCTTATAGTTTAGGATAGCCTTATGCCTATACCACGCATGCTTAAACTCCTTTACTGTGTTAACCTCTACCACTTCAGCTGGAAGGCTATTCCATGTATCCACTACCCTATGATCGCGTTCTGGTTCTCGTTTACCCAGAAGTAAAAGTCCCTAGCTATACGGGATTCCACTGTGCTGGGGATTGTGGGAACCGCGAGGGAGCATGGTACAGAGACATGCTCCTCCTTCTTCACTCCTCAGCCATCAGTGACAGGAGGAGGGCTGCCCGACCGGCGAGGCTGCCACCCGGCCCGGCGGCTCCAGCGTGGAATGCGGCCGCAAGCCCACCAGTCCCCTCAGAGTGTGTGCCACCGGACCGGCCACCCGGTGGCACACACATACTCAGCGCAGCCCCCAGATGCCGCGGCCCACTGGGAAATTTCCCAGTATCCCGTTGGGCCAGTCCGGCCCTGCCCAGGGATTACTAAAGTTTGAGGATGCAGAACTTGAAAAGAGTTGAGTTGTACTTGGTCTTCAACCAGGAAGGTCCCTGTAGTGGCTTTTATACTAAAAAGCACTGGGGGTATGTTTAGCTGCAGAAAGTAAATGTTGCCATGCATTGCGTTGCCATAATTTACCATGCAGGACAAGAATGACAGAGGTACTGGCCCAAGACAAATTCATAAAGCTAAAGTGGCTTGGGTGCATTCTTGATGTTTGTTATGAACTTTAACATTTGGAACCAGATGAATATTTCATTTTGAGAATAATAACTTCCATAATGATGACATTATTGCAAGGCGAATTATCTCCAGTTTAATAGATTAGTTACTCATGTTTGTAAAACAAGCCTATATTCCAGTTTATTGTTCCTGGCCCTAAGTTTATGGTCCTCCCCTATTCGGCATAAAAAGGTTAAAAAAAATTATTACGTTTTTTTTTTTTTTCCATCGCTGAGTCTCCCTTAGCACTGCTTACCTCTCCTCCTCTTGCAGTGTCACAGATGAGGCATGGCCTGGTGACAGTCCAATCCAACACATGCATCAAATTTCCCCATAGGAAAGCATTAAATCAATGTTATCATATGGGAGCTTTAGTCAAGTGATAAAGTTTTACTCTGTTACTGCAACATGAATTGTAGTGTATGTAAACATTGCAGTTTCTCCAGAACGTCAGTGTTTTACATTGCAGGGTTAAACATACAGTACAACTGCACCCAGACCACTTTGTTGAGGTGAAGACGTCTGGGGGACTTTAGGGGTCCTTTTAAGGTCTTTTTCTGTTCTTTGTTTATTTTAGAAGATTTTTTTGCTGTGAAAAGTGCATGTTATCTCTGCAGTTCAAATAAGTTGGCTTTATAGAATTCTTTACAAATAATTTAAATGTTGCATGAATAATACAGTCTCATGCAACATAACTAATCCATATTGTATGCTAAAAAGCGTTTGCAGTACTATTTGTTTAAGTTTAAATTGGTTTTCTTTTCTTTTGGAAAAAAAAAATTGATCTAAAAATACAAACATCATGAATGCTGAAATCAATAATAAAGAAATAGTGTAATGTCTCACTGAGAGCAGGCACTCAACAAAAGAGAAGCACTGCTCTCAATGGGACAGTGTCAGTGTGGGTAGTACCAGTCTACCCAGGGCATAAACCCAACTATATATACCCGTGAAAGCTCTATCCATATCTCTAAATGGTGTCTAAAAGTAATGAATAAATGAAGGTATAGAGGAGATTCCCAGAAATGGCTACAATGTACTATACAGACTTTATTAAGTGCGGTCAAATGTACATGGTAACAACGGCTAAATAGCGTATAGTGGTAGAAACTTATATTAAAGTAAGTAGTACACAGGGGTTTAAGAATAAAAGAAGATGGATACAAGTTTCCTCAGATAATCCTGTAAATAGAGGAAGGGGTCAGTATCTGTGAAGCATAGAACCCTCCTCAATGAAATAACTTTAAGACACCATTTAGCAAGCATGATTATCTGTTATTTCTTGTCTACCAGCAAGGGGGCTCAGCTTTTGGATAGAGATTTCTGCAGTATATATATATTTTGAAATAAATAATAAAATTAGTTAAAATTTGCCTGAAATACAGCATTCGGTGACGCTTTCAGTGATGTTCTGCACTCTCCGGTCTGATGACACAGCAGCTGTCACGAAGTCCATTCAAAGGCTTCTCATAGAAAAGACTTTGGTTGGACACTTTAATCGTCTGAGCGCACGCACACGCTCTGCCTTCAGAGACGAAGCTAATTACATCTGTTTCTGACAAAGGATGTATTTATTTGCATAGAATTGACATTTGGCAGCCCAGAACTTTTTCCAAAGTCGCATATGCTAGGGTTGTAACTAGCCCCAGGCACAAAAGTGCAAATAACTCAATGAGCAATGTTTCAAGCAGAAACGCTACAGACGCCTACCACTATAACCACAACTAAAACCAGAAGTGGTCATGGTTGTTGAAATAACTCTTTAAAGTAATCAAATTGATTTTCTTTTAAATAACACTCAAGATACTCATCCAGTTTATCTTTAAAAATTATCAAACTACAAAATAATAAAGTGTGTATATGTAAAAATAATACATTGTTATTAACATTTAGTTAGAGTTAAAATTTGAACTGTATCAACTGCCAATGTTTCATTACTTATGCCTATATTACATAATTAATGTATTATAACACACATCGACCATTTAACTTATCTGATTTTGTTAGGCTCCATTGTCCATTCCAGTGTGAATTGTTACATTGTTTGCGGAGATTAAAAACAAAACTATCAATACTAATGCTATATGTCTGTGAAAAGAGCCAGGCTACCACATCTGTTTATTGTTTATGCCTGCTACATGTCTTTGCAACAAAGGCATTCCCAAGGCACTCAAAGTGTTAAAGCCGCAGGCAGTTTTAATGAAACAAAAAGGAACAGCAACGTTTCGATCTCCTAAGAGGTCGAAACATTGCTGTTTTTTGTTTCATTAAAACTGCCTGCAGCTTTAACACTTTGAGTGTCTTGGGAATTCCTTTGTTGCCTTGTCGTTGTGGGATTGCTGGTCCTGCTCTGGAGCACCGGGTGGCTGCTGGGGTTGAGTGCGGCTCCTACCATCATCTTTGCTACATGTCTTTGGCAATCTCTCCCATGACCACGACTCCTCAAATTCCTGCTTTTATACTTTGCAGCATTACAGCAGAATTGATCAAAACTTACCTAAATTGTGTTGCCAATGGCTTTTAAATTAATGGTTAAAAGTGAATATTAAAAACTAGATATTAAAAATGTAAATGGCACAAAGCATTTCATTTTTTTATGGCTTTTTCAAAAAGCAATTGTAACAAAATATTTTTTATCGCAATAAACATAACACAATGAGTAAACATACCCTATGCCATGTGCAGATCAGCTATTCAAAAATAAAATTAGTAGACGATTTTCATAATTGATTATTATTGGTTTTATTGATTAAAAATTGTGTTAGTTGTTGAGCTTTGCACTCCAGGGTATAGTTTTTCCCTATTCCAAACACTCCATCAATACATAAACATAAAGTGTACAGTCAGTTTGCTATTATGTGCATATATATGCAAAGTACTGAAAAAATGCCCACATTTTCCTTGTCTCGTGTTACTGTTAGCATTCCCTCATCTCACCTGCTGCCATTTGGATTGAAAGACAACTTCTGGGAAATGGGCGAGACTGGCCCATGTGGCCCCTGCACCGAAATACATTATGATCACATTGGAGGACGTAATGCTTCTGCATTGGTGAATTGTGGCAACCCAGATGTAGTGGAGATCTGGAACCTTGTATTTATACAATATAACCGGTAAGTAAGTAAAAGAAGGATCTATATACCAATAAGTGTAAGTTAAAACTTTCAAAAATAGAAATGTTAATAATAGTTTATTTGTATCAATTAACAAAATGCACGATGAGTGAACTGAAGTAAGTCTAAATCCAATCACTATTTGGTGTGATCACCCTTTGCCTTCAAATTGGCATCAATTCTTCTAGGTACACTTGCGCACATTTTGTTTTAAGAAACTCAGCAGACAGTTTCTTCTGTGGATTTAGACAGCTTCAGTTGCTTGTGTCTCTTCATAAAAACCCCAGACAGACTCGATATACCATCACTTAAAGGACTTCTTGTTTTTCTTTATGCTGAAGATAATTCAAGTTTTGACATTTCAGTCAACAGTAGATGGGCGTCATTGGTTTTTGCCAATTTTGAGCTGATAACACTACTGTACATCTGCTGATTATGAAGAAAAGTAAGCATGATGTGTCTTTTATTTACCTCAATATGTTTTTTTCGGCCAGCCACTGCATCTATGGTCTTCAATGGTGCCTGTTTCTTTATGCTTCTTCTGAAAAAGCTTTGACTACAAATCTGGAAATCCCTGTCTGTCTTGAAACGTCTGCCTGGGAGAACCCTACTGATGCAGTTTAACTACTTTATGTTTTGCTGTTGTACTCAGCCGTGCCATGGTGTGTAACTATTGATATTAGACTGCCTTCTGCAACCTCACCTTGTTAGCAGAGTTTGTCTTTTCCTCGCAAAGATTTATTCCTCCTACACGGCTATTTTTGTTTTACTTAATTTGTGTTTCAACCTATATATTAAATTAATGTTCATTAGTAACTATTTGGTATAATGGATTAATCATGCTCCTGAAGATATGCCTACACGATCCTTGATTTTTCTTTTTTAAAACAACATTAATTTTTGGAGTGCAATTGAACAAAGCGTGTTCTCATCAAAAATAGATTTGATTTTTTTTTTTTTTGTTCACTCACTTTGCATTTTGTTCATTGAAAACCAAAACAAACAAATTAGCAACATTTCTATTTCTGAAAGCACCGATGGAAAAGGTAGCTATATTTAGGTAAGTATATTTCTATTTTACATTTATCTTACCTATCTGAAGAGGACATTGAAATTAATATATTTTGGAGATGCCCATGATGCTTTGAATGGCAAACAGAAAACAATGCCTGGAATGAGGAAAACATTAACAAATAACGATAAGAACGAACAGTGATCACAAGAAGAAGATATAATTATTTGTTCTTACAGGAAGAAACAAATAAGGAATATATGGGGATGATCTGTAGTTGCTATTTAAATTAATAGCAGTTGGCTAGTAGGACTGTGGCATCCTAAATAACCTGTCTCTTCTATATGTTTGTGGATAGCGAAGAAGATCGGAGTCTGAGGCTTCTCCCACAACAACATGTGGACACTGGAATGGGTCTGGAAAGGCTGGTAACTGTGCTTCAGGGAAAGAGGTCAAATTATGATACAGATCTATTCACACCGATACTGGAGGCCATTCACAAGGTACAATTGATGAAGATCTCCTTTCCAAGGGTCATATTGCAGCACTGACATGGCATCTGTTGACATAAAGCACATTCATCCAGTTCTATTGCTTGGCTGCCTTAATATCTGACAAATTTGATACAAATACAGATCTATAATATCTGCAACTTTTGGTGGGTAATGATTTTTTTCTGCAACCAAGAGGAGCTGAATGTGATTAATATTATTTTTTTTTTTAAATAAGAATACTTACCTTGTTGTCAGATCTTGAATCTAGAATTAATTGATTCTCCCATTGTGTCTGTAGTTGATAATGATATAATAAAGGGATAATAGAATATTTGGAACCATGGCTGCTTATTCCTGTTTTCATGAGATGTTTTCTACATTTAACAAAGACTCACATAGTTTTGTAAAAAGTAGTTTGTTTTAGTTACCGATCACTCTTCCATTTGGTCACTAATTGCTGTATTCATATTTGCTACAACTAATGAATTACTCAAAGAATGCAAAAAGGTCTGAGGGTTTGGGAGACTTTCTACATGAGCTTTACTTTTTCCCAAAGAATGCAATGTATTAATGGTACGCAAGTATTCTCCTTACATCTGTAGGAGTTTTTATATTGTTTACAGAAAAGTATTAATAATAACATGTTACATTATAAGTCATAGTATGTTATGTGTTAATGCAAAATAACCACAAACATGTTGTTTAAAAAGCTATTTTAGTTGTAGAAAACAGGATGCAAGTGTATAGAATATATATATGTAAGTTTATTTTAAAATACATACACATACATAAATAATATATTTAGATGGAGCCTCCACAGGCGACAGGTGATGACAACTTGATATAGGTATGACAGTGGACCAAAGCTTTGATATATGCTGTTTTAAATGAACACTATAGACACCATAACCACTTCTGGCAGGAGTAGGGCCATCATTGGAGGCTGGGCTTCAGACTGCTGGTGAATCGAAAATCTCTACTAAAAGGTGGGTAATTGCGGATGAGGCGGGACCCCATGCCTGCTGACAGCATGCACCAGTTCAATCTGTAGAAGTGTTCGTGGTGCCTACAGTGTTCTTTTAAAGGGGCTAAATCAAAGCCAAGTTTTAAATTTAAATAGTTAAACTAAATTCTGAGTGCTTCATCCACTTGAAGATATATATCCAGCCAATCTTTTTTTGGCAGTGATTGCAGCCAATCATGGAATTGTTTGTTTAAACAGACAGTTCATCTAATACAATAACAATGTGAGATCATTCAGTATAGGAAAATGAGCCAAACGGTGAAATTAAATGGTAGGCTAGTTGCAGTCACATATTTTAGTGACATATTTTATATATATATATATATATATATATATATATATATATATATATATATATATATATATATATATATATATATATATATATATATATATATAAATTTGCATCTTGTAATACCTTTTTTATTGGACTAACAGAATTTTTTAATTTTTAATTTCAATGCTTCAGACTTGAGAAAGGGAGGTTCTCCCGAAAGCTTGTCATTAAAAAATTCTATTAGTCCAATAAAAAAGGTATTACAAGATACAAATTTTATCTGTTTTTTACATCTACGTCACTGGACTAATACGGCTACAATCTCTACTTGAACACTATATATATTGTATAAAATATACAAGTTATCCTCGGCACACTTCCTTGAGGTTTTTTCAGCCTTGGTGCTACCAGCGTATACAAAGTAGAAGAGGTGCACTCGTAGGACTTTTCAAAAAGTGTTGTTTATTTTCTCAGTGTAATAAAGTTTTATCCCTAGGGGAGTAACTTTAATACACTGAGAAAATAAACAACACTTTTTGAAAAGTCCTACGAGTGCACCTCTTCTACTGTGTGTGTGTGTGTGTGTGTATTCTCCTAAAGAGTTCCATCATCCATCACCCATCTAACAGTTAATAAAAGTGCGATTGCGTGTTTTAGGAGGACTGCGTTTTACGAAGTGTGTTGTGTTTTGCATCTACAGAAGAAAGGGATCAGCGCTCTCTATCTATACAAAATACAACAGAAACAATAATAAATAAGTAAAAAGTGGCAGCACACCTAAAAAGTAGGGCTCCCTCACAGGCCTTACAACAGAAATGGTACAGAAAAAAGAAAGGAAGGCAGCGCCACTATAAACCACATAAATTAAAAGAGCACAGAATAGGCAGACTAGAATGCAATATATATGATAGATAATAAGCAAATAGAAGTCCAGAATAAATAGTCTGACTGGTAGATGAATCAAACAACGAGGTATTTCTTTGTAGAGGTGAATACAGTCTTTTGTAGTGGGGGATTCTTCAGAGTGGTGTAGATGCGTCTTTGTACATCATATGAAAAAAAAAAAAAAAAAATAACAACTGATGGTGCAGTATGTCCCGAAAGGGGTAGAAGCAATAAAAGAGTATATAAAAGTGTGATTGCGTGTTTTAGGAGGACTGCGTTTTACGAAGTGTGTTGTGTTTTGCATCTACAACTTATTTTAGGATTAACTGTTAGTCCGGCAGCAAAAATACATTCAATTAACAAATTTTTATTACAATTTGTTCACCAAGTGGTACACTGTTATCCTGTCATAGGTGTGGTGATTTACAATAGTTGGCAATGTTTGTACCCTGACTCCTCTTTCACTGTATGAAAGTACATAAGTGTTATGGTATTCCCTGTTTTTAATAAAGATACTGGAAAGCATATATTTAAAATAACACATTTTTTTTCCTTAAAACAATTAAATTAGAATTGATGCATAACTTTATCTGAAAATAACATCTTCGAGTATGGAGACATCTCACAACAACTTCAGTCTCATGTTTCTAGTGTCACCAGAATTCCTTATTTACATTATTGGTTCATGATAATTGTCTTCTCATTTTATAAATTATGTGTGCTTGTTTTTCAGGGTTCCCAGGTGTTACCATATCGGGGTCTTCTTGGGACAAAGGACCTAGGTCACATAGACATGGCTTATCGCGTAATAGCAGATCACATCAGAACTCTGTCTGTTTGTATAGCTGATGGCGTTTACCCTGGAATGTCAGGTGCAGAGTAAGTACTGGGGAACAATGCCCAGTTATTACTATTGAGATTTTATCTGCATTGCTTGCATTTTGCTTATTTCCTGCTTCCAGTGTAGATCTGACATTGTAAGTGATACTGAAGTGTTTTAAACACTTTTTATTTTAATAATCTAATCAAAGCTGTTTAGTTGAGTGCAACCCATATTGTAAGATGCACGATTAAATGAGGAGGCTTATTCCTGATTATATGCAACCTCTCTGTTCAGTAGTAAACTCTTCATTACCAACAACCAAAGTCATAGCTATGGCATCAACCTGAAGATGTCTATTTTAGTCTACATGCTTGTATTTTAGGTATCTCAACAAGCAGTGTTTGTGACTAATTTATATACATTTACAGAACCTTAATATATTTCATTATTTAAATGTTTGCAGAAATATTGGGATTAAACACTATGATTTCACAGTATTCCTTATCTTGCAACATTTTGTATAAGTTGGGAAATACCATTTTGCATGTATCCTTTGTCAACATATACACACAATTACTGTTTTTATCTTAATTGTGTACTACCCATGTATTAAAATAAATGTTACATTGATTTGATTTTTTTTTTCATTAAAAATAAAATTTGATATTGAAGGATTTATGACTTCTAACGGCACATGCTTTATAAGAAGTAAATCTTAACAGCATATTGTTCTATCGCAAATTGCTATGCTATGATTACATGAACTTGTAATAATTTCATGGCTACCATGTTACTGATATTGTCCAATTTATTTGTCAGACAAGCTAATTTGGACCTAAAAAAATAAACAATCGGTTTCTTTACAACTTAGACTTGTTTTGCGTCGGATCCTGCGCAGAGCTGTCAGATTCTCCTCTGAGATTCTCCGTTGCCCTCCCGGCTTCCTCTCCTCTCTGGTCCCTACTGTTGTACAAATTCTTGTAAGTATAACATGTCTACATCATATTGCATGGTTTGATATCTTATCTACGCAATCAGCAAATATTTAGCATATATGAAGTATATGAAGTAATTTTTTTGCAAATACTGTACTCTGCCAGTGGCTGACTATGCATTTAGGCATTAAAATAGGATTGGACAATGTTCCCACCATTAATGGTGTCCCCTAAAATGAGAAGGTAAAGTAAATCGTAGGTAGAGAGATTAAGAAAAGCTGTGGTGATGGTAGGAGAGGGGTAGAACTGAGAAGGACACAAATATGTCCCTAAAGTATATCACACCATTCTTGGTTATATATAAAGTGGGGTCAGCATTAAAAACCTCTGCTCACACTTAAGCAGTGCATTAAAAGAATACTCCCAACCCAATGTTAAAAATAAATCCATTTATTTACAAGGTTGGAACATTCTTTTTTTTTTTAATTTTTTTATTTAATGCCCTCTGATATTTAATAAAAAAAAAGTTACCTTTTTTCCAAGGCAGTATTCTCTCCACAGCTCTGCCAATGCAATGATTCTCATAGAGAAGCCCCACCAAAAGTCTTATAGAAGTGTTGAATTAAATGGTTTTGTATTACACGTGCTCACTACCACTTTAAATGTTCATTCAGACTAAGCGAGCAAGAAACCCTCACAGCTCTAAGGACTCTTTCTTTTTATTTATTTATAAAAATACAAATTTCTCTTGAATCTGCACTTTTATATGGGGGAAAAAAGTGGGTACAACCTGAAGTGCTGACTTCGCTTAAAAGGAGTGAAACATGCAATTATTTGTTCCAGTGCTGGGCAGTAAAATAGAGGATAATGTATCAGTAAATCGGACTTAAAGGGATTCTATAGTGCCAGAAATACAAAGCTTTTTGTGGATTTTTGCCCAGTTTTTCACTGCATAATCTATGTGTGCATAACATTAAAGGGGCTCTCTAAACAACTGAGAGTGCTAGACTAGCCCACTCTTTGCATTTTCCATCAGGCACTCCCTCCAGCTTGGACAAAATTGGTTTTTGATAATGCAGATTAATTAATTCATCACGATCGATTTGACTCATGGGAGCAGTCTTTGACGTAGACTGACATAAAATTGGGGATGGCACCCAGAGGTCTTAGGCAACCTAACCTCTACAGTGAGCTGTAGAAGTTATATTGCTTAGTGTGTCCATATATATTCTAAATAGGCCAGTTATTTTCATGCCCATTAACCTTTAGTTTTCTCATTTGTGGGAAAGTTCTAAAATGAGTCTGTTATTGAATCAATGTGATATCATCTCCCCAGATTACCATGACTTTCAGAAAGGTGACACATAGCCAATTCTGTAACACAGGGATACTTGTGCTTGCTTTTTTTAAATTAAAATTATGAACTGCAATATTGAACATCAAACATAAACAATACACTTTAAGTATATTTGTGTTTAATCTTTTCACAGCAGGAAGCATATCCAGAGCTACAGAGGGAACAAGAGCAGGTCAGTGACTTTATATGTAATGAAAAGTCTCATTTGTATTGTTGTTTTATTCTTTTGGAGACAATTACATGACCTAAAGACCTGATGGGATATTTTTGTTAATTACAGGCCTGCTCAGGCAATGGTCCATTTATTAACAATACAAAACAAATTTCAAATTATGTCATCTGTTCTCAACGTTTTTGGTTCTTTTCGTACTCCAAAGCATTTTGTTATATTTGCTCTCTGTTTATTAACCTGGTGGTAAACTTTAATTTCTTTTACTATAGATAATGAGCATTCTTAATGATAACGAAGAAGCGTTCCTCACCTCACTCAAACGCGGGAGACATATTATAGACCGAACACTTCAGCAAGAGCAGTCTTCAAATATTTTCCCAGGCAAGTTCTGCCATTCATTTTTAGTGCAAGTGTCTTTAATGATTGGCAATGCCAAACACGGGCCTGGATTTAAAAAAAAAAATCCGAAAAATTTGCCCGCGAGCAACGCTAGCTGCTCTGTAGCATTCAGTCTCTACTCATGGTAGAAACTGTGCTATGTACATATTCCCAATACGATACTTTGTATAGTGTTCAGATATGAAAAGCACTTATTTTCAACCAAACACCGATTGCATCCAACTGATTGGTGCAGATTCATGTAGGCTGACCGAAATCCAACCAGAATTAGTTTTAGTAAATGTGAGAATTTCCATTCCAGTCTGAATTTGTTTAGTGAATTACTATGCAAATCTCCTATCTATCACTTGACTGCCAACTCCCTTAATTTATCCAAAATGGTTTGAGATCTGTGCTGCAGTAGTTATGGTGTTGGAATGTTCCCTTAAGAACTATTCACTGCACTCCATCTGTTAGACAATGTGCAATCCTATGACTAATTTTCATCTCTCATCTTTAATTTGTATATTAATCCTTTGTTTGAAATTGTAGCAAATACATTGGCAAAATTCAAGGAGATTACATTCACGGGGCATGCTGAGCTATATTTTCATAGAATGCAATTAAAGGGACACTCCAGTGCCAGGAAAACAAACCGTTTTCCTGGCACTGCAGGTCCCCTCTCCCTCCCACCCCCCATCCCAGGTTGCTGAAGGGGTTTAAACCCCTATAGTGACTTACCGGAGTCCAGTGCCGATGTTCTTCGGCACTGGTCCAGAGTCCGCCCACGCACCTCCCCCCGCCGACGTCAACCGGCAGGGGGACACCAATTGGGCATGCGCGGCCGCTGGCGGGGTGAGACCTAATGTGCATGCGCAGCAATGCCGCGCACGCGCATTAGACCTCCCCATAGGAGAGCATTGAAAAATCCTTTCAATGCTTCCCTATGGGGATTTTAGCAACGCTGGAGGTCCTCACATAGCGTGAGGACGTCCAGCGACGCTACAGCACAGTTTTTGGTTTTTTTTTCTGTGCTAGAAACCCGGAAGTGCCCTCTAGTGGCTGTCTAGTAGACAGCCACTAGAGGAGGAGTTAACCCTGCAAGGTAAATATGGCAGTTTATGAAAACTTCCTTACGTCAGCCGGTGGGCGAGACTGATCGCGCCCGCTGGCTGAGGAGAACTAATGTGCATGCGCGGCAATGCTGCGCACGCTCATTAGAGCTCTCCATAGGAAAGTTTTGAAAAATGCTTTCAGTGCTTTCCTATGGGGAATTGAGCGACGCTGGATGTCCTCATACAGCGTGCTAGAAACCCGGAAGTGCCCTCTAGTGGCTGTCTAGTAGACAGCCACTAGAGGAGGAGTTATCCGTGCAAAGTAAATATTGCAGTTTATGAAAACTGCAATATTTACAGTTGCAGGGTTAAGGATAGTGGGAGTTGGCACCCAGAAAACTCCAATGGGCAGAAGTGGTCTGGGTGCCTGGAGTGTCCCTTTAAAAGGACTCTGTGGGCTAAATATCACACACCATATATTGCATGTGCCTTTGATATTGTCATTACTATTTTTCTTTATTGTGAATTGAAGAAAATTCAATATTTAATGCATTTTCTTCTGCTTCTGTTTCTCTACTTGGGTGCTAGTCTGTCATTTCCTCCTCATATCCAAGTCTTCCAACTGTCAGATTGGTGTCATTCACAGTACCAAGTTGTACGTGAAGTGACAGACATAACTTTTACTGAGAGATGGATCTGTGTAATGCTCATAATGTACGTCCCATTAATAATTATTCCTATCACTTCATGCTTTGATCACTAGTCTGAGTAGCACAAATCACACACCGTGCTGGGCACTGTGTGAAGTAAATATTTTTCTGCCGTCTGGGGAGTTGGAAGGAGCGGCAGAAAGCATTTGTTGTGCAAAGCTATCTGGCAAATTGAGACTGGCTTTTGCAGATTGTGATTAATACTATACTGTGACTGTAGCTGAAGTGAAGAATTTTCGTTTACATTTTTTAAGTGGGTTCTAACAGATATTTAGTCTGAATGTTGTCATTTGAATTTAAGTTTGTTACTCTTGTTACTGTTTCATTTCATTCCTATCTCTTTTCTTTTTTTGTTTTCTCCACTAACAAAATATTGTGTCTAGCCATGCTGCCTGAAAACAAGCAATTAACTCAAATTCTATTCTTGTTTGTCAATTAAATCAGCCTATTGGCAACACATAGGAGGTATGCCCTGCTTAAGGAAAGTGTGTGCATTATTGAACAAATTGTTCCTTTCAATTTATTTCGTTTGAAAAGGTGCACTTCTTGAGTTAACATCTGCAGTGGTAATATGATCCTAGCGCTAGTTACTTCTGCTCCTGCACGTCTTCTTTGCAATGAACCACTTAGTACATCAGTACGCTGACTTGAGATCTGGTCTCAGCAGCAGATGAGTCATCACTAGAACAGTTCACTGACTCAATGAGCCTTCACTTTCCCAAAGATTTGTAATCCCTTTGGACCCCCTTTACCCAAAGGCAGTGGTTTCCAAACCAGTCCTCAAGACACGCCTACCAGTCCAGGATATAGGGATTACCCAGTTGTACCTAAGGTATTTTTAGTAAATAAAAATAAAAACACCTAAATCCCTAAATCCTGGACTGGTATACGTGTCTTGAGGACTGGTTTGGAATCACTGCCCTAAGGACTCCTGTCAACTTAGCCCCACCCTCCCCTAACCTTCAACACCCCAAATATGAACTCTATAGATAAAGTGATGCATCTATGCTACTGCTGCCGCCAGAGTAGGCAGGCAGCATTTAACAGTGGCATCACCATAGCAGTTTTGAGTGTTTAGGGGAGTCATTCCCAGAGACCAGCTCACTTAGCAAGTGAACTAATGAATCCGTTCATGAACCATTTCTTTTTAAGAACTGTCTGAAATAAACTGATCTAAGTGAATCCGACTTTCCATTACTAGTGTGCACTGTGAGGAAGTGAGATTTTCACCACTAATGTGGTACAGAAAATCTGTTAAAGTTTGTTCAGTTAAACAGTGGGGGGATATTCCTTTTCAGCAACCAGACTGTTAAAGGGATCCCAGCACTTGATCAGGTCCCTGATACAACGATTGGGCTGGTGATAGACATCTTATTATTATCATTTACAAAGCACCGTACTATTCTAGAAATTGCTCTTAAGGTGCCCTAGTTCTAACCATCTTGCATATTGAATTCATTATATGTTGTGAATACCAAAGTTGAACTCATTGCTATCTTGCCTTTTCTAGTTAATGTGGCATGGTCTCTGTACAGAAATCTTGGATTTCCAATGGATCTTATTGGGCTTATGTTGGAGGAGAAGGGAATGTCATTGGATAAGGCTGCTTTGGATCAGCTTGCACTTGAGGAATCCAAGGTAATGTATTTATTTCTGGAATTCTTATATTGCGAACACTAGCAAAATGAATACAGCCCTACTTCACGTACAGCCATATCTCCCACTAAAATTAATAAAGAAACCAAGCAAGCTATATACATGTACATAAACTCTTAGTGTGGCTTTAAAAGTGATTAAATATGTTTACATTTTGAAAAGGCTATATTCAGCCTGGGGAATTCAGAGAATGAAACAGAGGCCCTGCTGAGTGCTGATCTGCAGTACTATCAGATTGGTCCTGCATGGTTTAATATTTTTAGTTCAAAGTGCGTGTTCCATGCACCAGCAATGCCAATCTTACAGGGAAGATTGCCTGATGTCTGTAGTCAAGAGTCCCAGAGTAGGTAACCATAACCATTTATAATAAGCCTGACATATCTCAAGAACCCTGGAAAATGTCCAAATGAAAGCCAATCATGAAGTTCCAGTGGGTCGAGATTCCTGTCAGTGTCCCAAAGAAGGCATGGAGAGTGGGGATGCATGCAAATGCCAGGAAAATCTCTGGGTTCAGCATCCATTTGCTGGAGTCTCTCCAGTAAACAGAGAATCAGTCCGCCACCAGATTGCCTGTGCCTGGAAGATATTCCGCACATATGGAGAGGTTTCTGTCCAGATCAAATTTGTAGAGGTCCTTGGTCTGTTCAGCGATAAGCCTGGATCGAGAGGTGCCTAGGCGGTTGATACAGCAAACAACCTACATGTTATCCTTACATAGCACTGAGGTGTTAAAATACATTTTAAAATCTACTTGGGCTAAAGTGGTAGCCCAATCTACTTTGCAGTCATGACAATCTAATTGTCCTGATACAAAATTAAAAATTAGAAAGTTTGGGGACCCTGCTGAGACCTGGGCATTGGCACTAAACAGAATTTTTCTAGATTAAATCTGAAAGAGAAAACAGGCCAAAATAGCTGATCTGGAAAAATATTCCAGCTGAGCTGTAGTCACAACAGGATATTTTTTCCAAATTAATTTAATGTGAGGGGGTACAAATGCCACATCCCTTATAGCAGAAGGCCAATTAGATAACTTCTTAGAAAAAGACCAGAAGGAGAAAAAGCCTGCTATAACCTCCAGACAGTTGACACAGAGGACAGTTGCCATTTAATGCCTCCATATTGCGATGCCACCAATAGAGTTCGATGCGGACCTCATCTGAAAGAGGAATTATCTGATCATAAGAGGAGTGTTGAAAGCAAGAAATCTTTCGTCTCTGCATGGCACAGTAGTGTAAAGGTCATGGAAAAATGGTCTGAATTGCAGAGGAAAGTAGGCCAGTCATCCTGTTGAGATCTTGACAGTTGATAGCTGGAAGGTGGAGAAATTTGCAGATGTCTTTTCAAATGGCGGCAATTTTCGAAGCTGAAATTGTTTACGTTAAATCTGTCCGAAAGCTACAAAAAAGAAATAGTTTGTGGATGGGAAACAAGGCCAACTTCTGGTCATTTATGATGAAAAGTAGATCCTGAAGTAGGTGTACTACAGTCTCTGTGTGGGAGCGCAGGCTGATGGGGAATCTAGAGGCTTCAGGAGCTTCGCAAAACAAAAAGGATCAGAGCCAGGCCAAATGAGAGGTACATGAATTGCCATAGTCAACCATTCCAGAGAATTTTCAGGTATTTCATGTGATCTTGATGAATAGGCAGGCATCTCTGAGATGCAGTTTGGAGTATCTCATAAAAGGTAGATGCCTTCCATCTTGAAATGCTGAGATAGTGAAGATTTATGACCCCTGGAAGACCCCGATCTTCTTCCTGATAAGGAAAATGTTGCACGAGAATACAGGAGATCCAGAAGCCGGTCTGATTGAGTGCTTGGCGAGTTAGTTTGCCTCTGCATACATGACACGGTTTGGAGCAGGAGGAAAAAGTTTAGGAGGGAGGACAAAGCCTATGAGATTATCTGAAACAATCTGCAGGATCCATTGATTGTGAGAGACATTCAGAATGGAAGGCAAATAGTTAACATGTCAGCAAGTGGATGATGAGAAAAAGGAGAACTGCTTACTTGTGCTGATTTGCCGTGGCTGCAGAAGCCACGTTTTGGGAAGAAGGACCTGTGTTGGTACTTAGTATTGGCAGACTGGAGTAACTCCACTGTGTTTGGCCTGCCCTGGCAGGAAAATTCTGAGTGACATTTGAGCTTTATTGAGGAAACTAAACATCACCACATGACTGTTATGTTATTTGACAAATTTTGCTTAGAAGATCATGCATTAGACAAAGTTCTTGTTCTTCTAGGTTAGTCAGCTTTGGATCTAGATGATATAGAGCCACTTTGTGGCATTAGGTCGAGATGGCCACATCTGATTGCCTAACAAGCATATAGCATATTATGTCCACTCCATAAGAGTGTGGTAATCTGGTGTAGATCGGCCAGAAACAACGGTTAATATGAAGAGTAGAGTTAAAAGGTCTGTAATATTTAGTAACTTGTCTTAGGTTTGAGACTTGAGACCATGTTCCAGGCTTTTTCTTGGGTTCCAGCTGACTTGAGGGAGTCATATGGGGGCATTCTTTTTTTATTGTGGGCATCCTTGTCCATAATAAATTCCCTGGCAGAGCCCTTTCTGCGAAGGTGGGATGTCTCATCAGTATTGGGTCAAATGAAGGCTTGCTAGAAGCATCTAGAAGTTAAGTGGAATCCTTGGTGGAGGTTTGGCATGTGGAAGCGCTCTTTGGTATAGTCTGAGGATTGTTTTACTATGTGTCCGGGTTGAAACGAGATTCAGAGGGACTGTTCTTTTGTGATTGGAGACTCGCCACTTGACTGCCCAGCATAGTACACTTCTATGAGGTCAAAATCCTTGGTGGACAGGTCCTCTTTGTGGGCTGTAGCGTGGAAGAACTAAGACTGGTGGGAGGAAGTGGTAGCTTCGCTGGTCTTTTGCCAGCAGAGAGGCTGCCACTCTTCCACAGTCTTTTGCATGGGAAAACATTAGGGCAGGATTTGTGATAAGCCCATGGAGTGGTCACCAGACAGCTCCGGTGAAAGTGAAGCATCAAGGCATTAATGGTATCTCACCCTGTGTTGTGAATATTAAGCTATTTGTAGGCTGAGAGCATCAGACTGCAACAGAAATAACTGGGCTGAACTGATAGGTACCAGATTCAAGATTTTGTGGTTAAACTGTTAACGCTTTAAACCCTTGAGGTAAGCCGGCGCCCATAAACCACCTCACACCAAACAATTAATAACTTAATTGTTATAGTTATGGTGCCTGGAGCGTTCCTTTAAGGTAAGAAGACGCCCAGAAACTCTTGGCACTATGATAACTTAATTAAGCTGAAATTGTCATGGTGCCCACAGTGTTCCTTTAACACTATGAGGTATTTTTTCATTCATAATTTTAGTCAATCTTTTATCAATAGTTAAGTTTTAAACGTAAAACATCAAGATACATAATTTTGAACAATTATTCACCTTTTTTGTTAGTACCGGAGATAACACCTAAGCACAATTTACGAAGTGTCTGTGTTTTATATGTCCCCTTGTATTGTGTGCAGAAGAAAGTGAGGAACCAGCAGGTGGATGATGCTGAGACTGGTCTAGAACTGGATGTACACTCCTTAAATGAGCTACATCGTGCAGGGATACCACCCACTGACGATTCCCCAAAATATGCATATTCCATGGGGGCTGATGGGAGATATGGTAAGCCATTTTCAAGTTTTGCAACAAAAAATTAAATAAATATAAATTAAGAAATGTATATTTGTAATAGTAAAGAGTTATTTTTTTTTTTCCAAAATGCCAATCTGATTTTTCTCTTTAGATAAACTAGTTGGTAATGGTGCTAATATCCTACCAGTAAAGCATCCAGACTTTTGAATGGGGCATAGAAGGGATGTCTTTTTAGGTTTTGTTTTTCACAACAGAAAACTTAAATTCCCCTAATGAATTTTTGTAGACCATTGCCTTTTTTAGTATTGATTGAATTTTAATAAACCTACTAGCAAGTTTCTGTCAGTCATTTGGGTCCAGAGACGGGTGAAACATGAATAATTTAACCATCTTCAAATAATGTGTACAGTTGTTTACCTGTCATTCTGAAAGTAACTCCTAGCCATTCTCACCCTACAGTGTTTAGTCCATGCCAGGCCACCATACTCATGCTCTATAAAGACCAGACCCTGCACTCTGAGATCGGAAGGGGTGTGTCCTGTGGTGTCATTTTCAATCAGACCAATTTCTATGCAGAGCAAGGAGGACAGACCCATGATGAGGGATACTTTGTGCATCAGGGTGCTCAGGTAAGATTGTAATGCCTTCATATTTTTGGTTTCTAACTTGTTATATAGCCACATACCACCATAACAATAGCAAATGAAACAAGGGAAAATGTTTCCATACAAATAAACATGCTGCAGACAATGCAGTTAAAACATAGGACAATGAAATGCACATGGGTTGACTGTGCAATTTAACTTATGCAAATGTGACCCACACCAATAAAAAATACAGCTAAAACAGGGAATGTCTAATATATTAATCAATCTGGTTTCTATAATGTATAAATGTAGGGAGGTGAAGTTTGTGATATGGTCTTACTCATACTTCAGAGCATCAGCTTGCTCTAATATAAGGATTGGTGAGTTGCTAAATAGAACATGTTAGTGAAATGTTTGTGTTCATGTATTTACGTCTATCCTTGAGTAACCAGTGGACAGGCAAACACTTTTTGCCTGCCCACTAGTTAAACAAAACCCCAGTGGGGATTGAGTTACAATAATGCATGTATTCCACTGTGTTATATGGGACCATACTTTTCTTTACGACAAATTAGTAGCTCCTGGCTGCACTTTATCCCCATTATGACATTCTGTTTGTTAAAGGGGACACTTCAGACACCATAGCAACTTCATTTAAATAAAGTTCTTATGGTGTCAGGACGCCCTTGCGCACTTTCTTACCTGAAGGGTATGGATGTTTCAGGTAGATACTCAACTGGTTTAGTAAAACTAAATCCTTTTAATGAAATAATGCAGAAAATATTACAAGAAACTCGACCAATTACCCAGGAATACTTACAGCAATGTATGAACACACAACTTAATCTTTTTTTTAAAATAATTAAACAAATTATTTGGATCTATGAAAGAAGACAAAGCAGTATTTAGGGAAAGAATTAGAGTAAATGAACAAAAAATGAGTCAATGGAATTTAAACTAAAAAGTGTACAGGATGATTGCACACTAATAAAGAAGAAGCTGCACGATTTGGAAGAAAAATCGATTGACATGGAGGACAGAATGCGCAGAAAAAAATTGAGAATTAGAGGTATAAATGAGAATCTAGATCCCAATTTATTATCAGAATTCTTATTGGATCTATTTAAAAACATGGGAGTTTCAGAAGCACAGAAGGAAGACATAATAGAACGAGCACATAGAATAGTAAAACCCAAGGGAATCTCAGAATCCCTTCCAAGAGAGAATTGTTCGATTTTCATCTTTCTATGTCAGGCAAAAAAAATCCTCCAAGCTTCAAGAAACTTCAAATCCAATGTGGAAAAATATAAAAATCTGCTCTTCTTTCAAGATATATCTAACGGCATAAGGAAAAAGAGATATGCCTTTAAGGACTTAAATATAATATTGAGATCCAGACAAATCAAATATACCTGGTGATTTCCTACTAAATAATTTTTTGTGGCATGAAAATCAGCGATACATCATACATAAAGATGAAGAAGGCCACAAATGGTTAGAGGCACATCCAGCAAAATAGAAAGAAGTTCCAAGAATTAAAGGAAAAGGACATTATTTATTTGTTTGTTTGTTTGTTTTCCTACCTTACTTTCATACTTCATATACTAAACAACAAAGAAGACATGAATATTGGACTTGAAAGTTCCATATTCTGAAACTAATGACATTATGAGAGAAAAGGAAAAAAATTTAGATTTTTTGTTTTGTTTTCTCTCTGTCTTCCCCCCAAGTAGTCAATCCTCTCCTACTCAGAAACATGTTATAGCTTATATATTGTTTAAAAGATGTTATATTTTTGCTTAATGCAATGTTAATACTTAAAATCTTAATACTCATAATCCTGAAAATTAATGTAATAGAGGGGGGTAGGTTGATTAGGTTACAGTATGACAAAAATCATATATGATCACATGGATTGAAAAGGTGTGAGAGAATTTTTTTTAAGATTCAATTCGCTTGTTCTACAGGAGTGTAATACTCTTCACTTTCTTTTTTCTTTTTTTTTTTATTATTTATGAATACTGCACAAACTCTACATTTTACAATATATACACTTTAGTCTTTCCACTAAAATGTGCGCATCTTCTTGCATGGAGAATTTAGTAACTTACAGTAGTGATGGTGCGCAACAACAAAAATCGTATTCACTATGGACCTCTTATAGAGAGTGAAAGTAACCCTGTGTACATGAAATGAGGTGTTTACAAAGTGGAAATATTATAAGTAATTGAAACACAAACAGTGGTTGTGGTAAAACAAAGCACAATCTGTAGGTATACTTGCAAACATGGAAATTACTCTGACACCTATTAAGGAGACAAAAACAGAAAGAGAGCTCCTAGTGCAGCATAGTAATTCACTTATAAATATATAAAATAAAGCAAACAGAGGTGCCCTTTAGGTGTTACACTCACAAGATTGGAGTGGTAAAAGCACCACTCGTTGCTATAGCACTCAGGGAGGATCAGCCCCTAGAGTGTGTGGAATCCGTGGAAAGGAAGCTTGCAATCCGGATCTCAGGTAAGTATACTTTATTAATAGCAATTTAAAAACAGCAAAACTTGTTGTGGAGGTAGTTAGTCCACTCACCGCAAAGAAAGCCGTTTGATAATGCCCTGTGGGTGGGGCGAAATGCATTACGGACCCGGAACCAGGAAGTGATTTGGAGACGGTCGGCAACAGGAGCCAGGATAGTAGCCGGAAGATTTTTTTACATTGCATGAGTATATGGAACTTTCTTTGCGGTTTCCTGAGGCTTGTGAGCGGACTAACTACCTCCACAACAAGTTATTTTATGTTCAAATCGTTTTACCAGGATTTGTTTTTGTTGGTTGCTGCATGATCCTGCATGATGCAGATCCTTCTCCCATTTGCGCCATCCTATTTATAATCGTTTTTTCATGGAGAATTTAGTGACTGAGGAAGTTATGAAAAGTGCTAAAAAGGGAAAGTATGGACCTGAAGTACTTGATTATTTTTCTTTTTGTGTTTTTTTTGTTTTTGTTGTTTTTTTTTCTCATCATTGTGGGCCATGTTCAGTCTCCTTTATTTGAAACTAATTTGTGCTATATTTGGAAAAACAATCTGTCATAAACAATCAGTCCTGTTGATGTTCCTGTTAGGGCTATATTTTATTTGTTGATTTGTACAAAGGTGATGGATTGCCTGCATCTCCCAGGGTTAACGTGTCTAATATGACAGAGACCTAAATGTGATCTAGCAATGCACTTGTCATCTGGCGTTTCTTCCCTTGCAGGACGTGATGTTCCCAGTGGAATCAGTGAGGTTATCTGGTGGCTACGTTGTGCACAAAGTTACAACTTCAGAAAAACTGCAGATTGGAGACAAGGTCCTGCTCTTTCTGGATGAGGTACTAAGTGGTTGTGAGAAACACTAAGTAGTTCACCTCTTGGTGGCTGATATTGATGTCCTCCACTGTATCATATACCCTGGAGTGTGACTTGATGCTAATTATAAAAACAACAGATTAATATGCTCGGACTCTCATTTGTTCTTATCTCACAGGCACAACGCCTTTCCTGCATGATTAAGCACACTGCCACTCACTTGCTAAACTTTGTCTTGAGTCGGGTCATAGGAGAGAGTACAGCCCAGAGAGGATCACATGTCACAGCAGAACGCCTGCGGTTTGATTTCAGCGTTAAGGTAAGAATGGGATTCCTAATAAAAAGAATAGCAAAAGAGAAAAGCAAAGAAAGAAAATTCTGGTTTATAAAAATCTACATTTCTGTGTATGTCATCAGTTTGTGCATGGAGATTCATGGAATCGTTGTCTCCTTGACCCACGAATGTGTTTTTTTTTATATTGATTATTTAGTATTTACTAAAGTAAATTGCATTGTTTTAAATTAAATAAAAATTTTAAGTTTAAGGCCAAAGTAGTCCAACTGGAAAAATTACCCCTAGTCGACAATGCTTCATGTAGAGCTCTTTTTGATCATATATTTGAAATTCACTTTATTTTTCTGACAGTTCTCACAATAGCGAATAGCCCTCGGAGCTTTAATGTTACTCTGGACTTCAGAGTCCAAACATAAAATGAAAACTGCAGCCCACTGGAATAGTTAAAGTTGATGTTTCTTCTACTGAACAGTGTTTATAGATCAGGATTTCTTGTGTTGTGTCCTAAAAATGTCACATAGAACCTACATTAAATCTTTGTTTTCTACAATCCATTGCCAAATTATGTTGTCACTATTTGTTAGGCTTTTGTCTGTCATTTCTACTAGGCCCCTGTTACAACCCAGCAGTTACAGGAAGTGGAGCGCGAGTTGCAGAAAATGATTGCACGTAATGAACAAATCCACACTTCACAAGTAGCACTCAGAGATGCCAAAAGTGTCAAAGGACTCCGTACTGTGGATGAGGTATTTCTATTCTTCCCCAGTATTAGAATGATTTATATTTTTAGAAAGTATTCAGGGATACGGTTTTCATTTAGGGGATTAAGCCACCAGTACTTTTCATTAAATCAGTTGATCTCAGTACAGAATTAAATTTTTGCACAATTTGGGGCAGTATGTATCTGCGATATACTGCAGGGTTGTTTTGATGTACAAATCATTAGGGCCACATTATATATTGCGAAACAAATATCCACCAGATTCATAGGAAAAAGTGAATAGTTATCTCTGATTCATCTTCGCAAACCAGATGCTTGAATATTACTTTTCCCATTTTACATATGCAAGCATAAGATTACTGATGTAACATGTCATGTTCATTTTGTTGTCTGCAGGAAACTGCCAAACAGTTGCCTGTGGATGTGAGGGTATAACATTTGGTTCTATGCATACTTTACATGGTTTTCTCATTTCTCTTAAAGGGACACAATAGTTACCACGACTACTTAATCTCATTGAAGTGGTCTGGGTGCAATGTCCCTGTCCCACTTAGTCCTGCAATGTAAATCATTGCAGTTTCTGAGAAAGTGCACTTATTACCTTGCAGGACTAAGGCCGCCTTTAGAGGCACTTCCTTAATGCTCGCTGACTCTGTGTCTCCTAAATGATGCAAGGCAATGCTTTCCTATGGAGGGGGCCTAATGCACTTGCAGCGCATTTGCAATAGCCCCTTAGTCGGATAACGTTGGGGGAGGCGGAGTACCGACCCATCTCCGAGGGACAGATTTGTATTCCTAACACTGTCAAATCCCTTTAAATGTATTTTTCTTAAATTTTTCATTTTATTTCTGTATATTCTAAACAATTTAACTGTCTTAACTTTTATCCTGTACAGCTGAATTATACTTTCCTCTCTATTACCTTCTTTATTTCCTGACATCATTTAATTTTGTATTTCTTCTCATGCCTGCAGGTTTACCCTGATCCAGTGCGTGTGGTATCTGTGGGTGTTCCTGTACACAGTTTGCTGAAGCCAGACTCACAAGCTGCCACGCAGACATCAGTAGAGCTTTGCTGCGGCACGTAAGTATTTTTACCATCTCACCGATTGCTCTATTACAAGTATTTGTATGATTGTTTTAGTCCTTTTTAGAATAATTCCTTAAATCACTCACAAGTCCTACTCTGTATTATTTATTTACTGTATTCTTTACACACAGACACTTGCACAGGACAGGAGCCATTGAGGATCTGGTGTTAATTTCAGAACGGCAACTAGTAAAAGGTGTCTCTCGTCTGATTGCTGTCACAGGAAAAGATGCCAAGCAGGTCTGTGACTTTGAAGCCTGCCCCTTTTACCTCTTTATAAATTTGCTCATAATACTGAGGCTGAGCCCACAGCTATTCTATATACCGTGTACAGATTTACTTTACGGAGTGTGTCCCCTCTGTGCTGTATAATTTTGCCAGCAACACATAGACCCTATGTTGAAATGTTCTTTATGTTTTAACAGTGTTGCTTCAATCCATACTGAAATAATTGATATTCCTGCAGGCAAGAGAAACCGGAAAGGAGCTGTCAGTAGAAGTGGAATCCATCACAGAACGCCTTCGGATAAAACCTACTACACTTGATGAAGCATTTCGGCTCTCAAGGGAAGTAGGGGCTCTTTCAAATGTGAGTGTAGACTGATGCTCTGACATTTCCCAAGGAACAACTTCTTTGTTTCTTCTGAAAATAAAGAAATGGAGATAATGAGTGGTCCCTTTATGTACTAAGTGTACCAGCTAGGTTTACTTTTTTTTTTTTTTTTTTTTATTAATTATGTTCTGTATTCAAAAGTTATTCGTTTTTCACAATATGTAAAACATCACTAAAAACTACATATCTACGGAAAATACATATTATTACAATAGCTGTGTTCTACAGTATTTCGTAAGGACGTAGACAATTTGGGTGCGTGCCACCAATGGTCCAACAGAGATTAAAGGGCATATTTTTAAGAGCTTATTTCCTTATAACTTGCTACACCAAATCTTATTGAAAGTCAGGGGGTAATTTGTAAAGTAAGAGAGTACTATAATTAATCGGTTATCCTGGAAGGCCACATTTAAAATATACGGATTGCAAGTTAAAGTGTGAGGGCTTTTCAATTAAGGTCCCTATCCAGGGAAGCCACCTTTATTCAAAGACTGAGCTTTCTCCTAAATGAAAATAAATGCCCCTTTCCATATTATATTGATATTTAAGTTGGGAGAGGACCTGAGGCCACTTAGGCATAGTTTGTTGTAACCAATGTCCTGATATAACTACTTTTGTTGCCATTATGGTTGTATTATTAGATATCTTTTTGGTAATTGAAATCTTGATATATTAAAATGAAACAGAGCTGTCATAAAATTGGGATCCAAGTCTTCTAGAACCAGAACAGGGAATCTCTTTTATTGCCCTACTCCATAAATTACTGATCAATACACAGTCCCAGCAGATATGTTTAGAGTTACCCACTTCACGGTAACCTATCCAACATAACTTTGAGTTGTTAGAATTCATTTTATTTAAAATATATTTGGAACCACATTCCATTGATGCAGTATCTTATAATGGGGTTTCAACAATATTTAGACAGTGAATTGATTTTTTTCACCTCTTGTATGGATTTAAATGACATGTCAGGGGGCTGTGTAGTATATCCATTTTTTTTGTCCCAATTTTTCTAAGCTCTAGGTTTAAGTTCTACCTCCTCCAGGTTCATAATCTCATAGCACTATGCTATGGATCTAAATTTTATTTAATTTTTAAATAAATCATTTATTTTTTGATTTAATACATTTATCTCTATTATCAAATGCGAAGTTAGATAATTATTTACTCTTAGGTTATTAAAGATCTAATTTGAAGGAAGGGTAATGGACTGCTGTAATTGCGGTAAAGATTTTATAGTATTTCCCTCTATAGTATCTATTATTGTAAGTGGGACATGTCTTAGCCAATACTTTAACTGCAGATCCCCAACATTTTGTTCAATTGCTTTAATAGGACTGTATTTGGAAATTTTATAAAGTAGTTTATTTTCTCTTAGTTCATCCAATTAGAATATAATTCTTTTAAATGTGGGCACTCCATTTTTGTAAGGAAGCTATTCCCAGCCTTCTTATCGGGCTAAATCACGTCAGCAAGGTCTCATCTCGTTTATTTAATATATAGATACTTAAATTTTAAACCAGATATCTTCTCTTGAACTTGGGTCCTGCTATCTCCACAAGTGATGCATTCTCCTTGCCTCATAGTATTTTATGATATTGGCAACCCCAAGATCCCCCCCCTATCTGCTCTCTCCATTATGTTGGAAGCTGCAATTCTTGGTCTCGTTTGCCCCCAAATATAACTCATAAAGAGACTATGTATTTGTTTAAGTTTCCATTGTGGTATAGTTAAATGATCACTATAGTCAACATATAAAATCAAGAAAGACAGTTCCCCTCTGCTGGCAGCAACCACACGGGATGTGTTGTCCACTTGAGTTGGCCAAAATCTGCTATGCCAGGCATGGGTGCTATCTTCCAGCCATTCAGGAGGTGTTTAGTTGTGGTTATCTAATCTAAATTGTCCCTCACCTTTGGGGAGATTGTTTCTCTGTGTCCCTGTTTGGTGTCTGCACAGTACATAGTCCTGTACTCTAGCTTGTGTGTGTTCAATAATCGTCTGAACTGGTTGGCGTTGACAATGTGAACAAACAAATCAACATATTAACTATATACATTGTGGGTTACGTTATGGGATCTCCTTATGTGCGCCAGTGCCTGATGTTGTGAGCCTGAAGACTTGTTTGTTGGTGTGGTGTTGCAGGTATGAGCGTGAGTCGATTTTTTTTTTTTTTGCGAGTTCACCTCCCTCCATGTTTCCGCCTCCCTTCCCTATGTCTGGTGATTATGTCACCCGTGTGTGGAGAGACATGGGTGTCCCATTGTGCTCTAGCTTCAGCGTAAAACAGCCATGCCCATGGCTGGAGTATGGTCATTGCTTCGTAGTCTATGTTTGTTGAAACCTGCTTGATCAAGAGATGCTGCAGAGGCGTCTCTATTGATTTCCATGCTCTAGCAATAAGCGTGTTGTCTGCGATCAGTATGTGGAAGAGCAGTATGGAGTCTGATTTGTTGTATGTGTTTAATGTCATGAAAAGTAGGCACAATTCCGGTGTGAGCGATATGTGTTGATGCAGTACTTCTGATAGTACCTCACCCACTATCTTCCAGTATGTTTTGAGTTTAGTGCACGACCATCATATGTGGTACATAGTACCCCTGTCTTTTTGGCACCTCCAACATTGATCAGTGGTTCCTGGATATATCTGCGCTAGTCTGGCTGGCACCATGTACCAGCGATATTGCAATTTTCGCATGAGCTCCAGGTGTGCCTCACTGCCTCTATGTGCTGTGAATGCCTGTTTCCAGGCGGTCTTGTCGAATGTGCGGCCTATGTCCGTCTGCCATGCGTGTACATGTGTGTCTACAGTGCCTCCCCCCTGGTCATTTAGTAAGTTGTAAGTCATTGCGAGTATTTTTCGAGGGGTGCTGGGAGATAGGCAGGCTTGCTCAAATTGTGTCAGCTGTGGCGCTGGAGCGTCTTTGTCAGTGTCAGATAACATGGATTTCACCTGGAGTTAGGAGAATTTTAGCCTGGAGGATAGGTTAAATCTGCTCTGCAGGTCTGGGAATTGTGCTAGTTGGTTGTTTACATACAGGTGTCTCACGTGTGTGCATCCCCCCCCGAAACCCACTGGCGATGTTTGAAGGAAAGGTTGGCTAAATGCATGCTGTGCAGAAGAGCAGCCAGAGACCAGTGCTTTCGGGAGCATAATGTTCCCCCGTGTGTGTCCCATGTTTTGAGTAAGAGAACTGTAGGGGGCAGCCTCTCTGGCGACACAGGTCTCTGTGGCTGCGGCACCCAGAATAACTGGGTCTTGGCGGTCCAGTGGGACTCAATGTCTACCCATTGTGGTTGGTTTTCTGTCGCGTGTGAAGGGATCACTGTAGCAAGCAGAGCTGCTTTATAATAGAGGCGTTTGTTTGGCATGCCCGGTCCTCCCCTCTCTATGTGTTTGTGTAGGGTTGACGATGCTACTCTTATTTTGCGGTGTCCCCAGATAAATTTGGTGAACATCCTCTGTAGGGTGTCAATATAAGATTTAGGAAGCAGTATTTGTAAGGTCCGCAGTAGGTATTGGAATTTAGATAGGAGGGTCATTTTGATAGCTGCTTGTCTGCCCAGCCAGGAGACGAGCTTTCCCTCCCATGATTTTAGAGTGGCCGTCAGTTCTTCTGCTAGTTTTCCGTAGTTTCTGTGGGACAGTGCATCTGGGTTTTGGGTGATAGTGAGTCCTAGGAAGGTAACATTATCTGTCCACTAGTCTAATGCGTATGTGGTCTGTAGTGCTGTTGTGACTCCCCTGGGTAGGCCCACCCCTAATGCTTGAGTTTTAGTCACGTTAAGTTTGTACTATGACTGTTTTCCGTATGTGGCCACTTCTTCTAGGAGGTTCGGTAGCGATGTCTGGGGTTGAGTCAAGGTCAATAAGATATCATCAGCAAATAAATTTGTATTCTTTATTTCCAATTTGGACCCAGTGTATATCTGAGTTGTTCCTAATTCTGGTTACCAGTGGTTCCAACGCCACAACATAGAGTAAGGGGGACAGTGGACACCCGTGACGCGTCCCATTGGAGATGGTAAACGGGTCGAACACGAAGCCCGCGTTTAGTACCTGAGCGGAGGGTGAATTATATAATGCACTGACCATTATTATTCGGGAAGCCGAATTTAGAAAGTACCCGCTCCAGGAAGGTCCAGTGTAAACGGTCAAAGGCCTTTTCTGCATCAAGGGAGAGTATCAGGCCGCCCCGGCCATCCAGCCTTAAGCTGTGTATTATATCAAATACCTTGCGTGAGTTGTCTGTGCCCTGTCTGCCAGTAACAAATCCCACCTGATCAGTGTGTATGATGTGGGGAAGGATGTCACTCAGGATGTATATTTTGGCGAACAGCTTTGCGTCTGTGTTTAGAAACGAAATCGGTGTAAAGTTTTGGGGATGTGTGGGAGGCTTTCCGGGCTTTGGCAGTGGGACAATGTGGGCAGCTAATATCTCTTTTCTAAGTGATTCGGAGTGTACTGCTTCTGTGAAAGCATGAACTAAGTGTGGGGTTAGTTTTGTCTGGAATGTTTTGTAGTAAGACTTGTCTAAGCCGTCCGGGCCAGGTGATTTTCCTGATGGTAGAGCTTTAATAGCTTCTTTCTCCTCTTCGTCTGTGATAGGGTTGTATAGAGTAGTCTGTTAGGCTAGCGATAAGCGGGGTAGGTGGTTTGTGTCTAGATACTGTCTGTCAGCGGTTGGTGGACGGTAGTGTCTTTGTTGAGGTTGTATAGGTCGGCATAATACCTGGCGAACGCATTGATGATTTCCCGAGGCATCATGGATTTTTCCCCATTAAGTTTGAGGAAGTACGCTATTTTTTGTTTGGCTTGTTGTTCCCTGAGCCTGGTGGCAAAGAGCTTACTTGCTTTGTTGCCTTGTGTGTAATTCGTGGCTTTCAATTTTTTAAGGTAAAAGTTTGTGCGTTCTAGTGCGTGCTGATGGACCCTCCTGGTGAGGGACACTATCTTGTCTCTCAGCTCAGTGCTGGGTGTGAGTTGGTTTTGTGTGTTTAGGTGGCACAGCTCTTGTTGCCATTGTCGCAGTTGGGTCTGTGTTTGTCCCTCTCTATCCATCCATCCCTCTCTATCCATCCATCCCTCTCTATCCATCCATCCCTTTCCAATGAGTCTCTTGTATAAATCCCACCGTTACGTGTTGTTTTTTCTTATGTAATCTTACAATAAGTGGCGTTTTTTTTAGCTGTGTTTATCCCCTTAACATTTAGTGTTGCAAATATAAATTTTTCGTCCATATTCTTTTAGCCCAAATATCCAACATCTTCTCTGATAGACCATTGGCCACCCGCACAAACACTTAACAAACAACTATCATCATTAGAATACTAAGACTCACTTAATCTGGGGAGGTGCTGGCTACAAGCCCTCATTGTAGACAACAAGTTCCCAGGTGAGTGTCCTGCCCGACCACTCTGGTTGGACACTACTTTGCGCACTACTTATAAGAGCAGAAAATAAGTTGAAATGTTTATGTTTTAACAGTGTTATTTCAATCCATACTGAAATAATTGTTTTACCCACTTACTTGGGGAACAAAAAGGCCATCTGAGGCTCTTTGCAGTACAAGGTTAAATATGGCCATGGAACGCACCCCTCCCTTTCACAGGTTCCTCATTCCAGGTCCCTGTTTAACCTTGTACCTCAGAGAGCCCCAGATTAAATTTTTATTCCCCAAGTAAATGGGTTAATCTCATAAGAATAGACATTAGGTTGGTAGAGTAGGACCTGCCAAAGATGGGGTAAATTGACGTTGTGGCAGGCTTATGCAACGTATGATCATATACTGTAACTAAACCCCCATTTTTTTTGCCTAGATAAGGTGTTTAAAAAAAATAAAAAATAAAAATCTATGTGCTTTGAAGTTGCTATTTAGTGGATGAGTGAGTGCACTGAATCATGTGTAATATATATAAATATGTAGAGATTGTAGCCGTATTAGTCCAGTGATGTAGATGAAAAAAACATATAATATTTGTATCTTGTAATACCTTTTTTATTGGACTAACAGAATTTTTTTCATGACAAGCTTTCGGGAGAACCTCCCTTCAGACGTAAGAAAGGAAGGTTCTCCCGAAAGCTTGTCATGAAAAAATGCTTTTAGTCCAATAAAAAAGGTATTACAAGATACAAATATTATCTGTTTATTATATATATATATATATATATATATATATGTGTGTGTGTGTGTGTGTGTGTGTGTGTGTGTAAATATTACATAAGTAAAAATAGTAAAATATTAAAGAGCTAAAACATAGGACAATGTTAAACTAATTAAATTACATTTGTTCTGGAAACTATTTTATAACTATCCCTTTTGTTGCTGACTCAGATTGTAGACAGCGCCATCATGCCTCAATGGCAGAAAAAGGAACTGCAAGCAGGTCTGAAAGCTTTGCAGCGTTCTGCTAACACTGTCATTCGCAAGCTGGAAATTAAACAGGTAATATCTGATGGCAGGATTTCTTCATCTCAGTCAGGATTAATTTCTTCTTTAAACTGTCCAAGAAATAATTCTGTTGTCAGGTATATGTAAATAATACTCATTCATTTATAAGAATGTCAAACCTGTAGTCCTTTTTATAATTTAGACTTATTTGTTTGCTTTTGTGATGAGCCATGATTATAAATAAGCTCTGCAGAGCCCGGCAGTATTTTCTTAGCTCTGGATGTCCATAGAGCATAGTAGATTTTTGCAAATTTCTAAATAGCAGTGATAGAGATTTGCTTATTAAACATGAACTGATGTAATAAAGAGAAATTAAAAAGTATATATATTTTTTTTATTTTGTATAATGTAATTCCAGCAATAATAATCTAAAAGAATAAGAACATGATAGATTTTGCCTAAAAACTCATAATAGAACCTTTCAATAATACAAGTGAATTGATATGTTTAACTTTACACAGGTATACAAAATAAACATACTTGTCTCATTTCTTAGTAATTTACTTGATACATACATAATCCACTAAAATGAATGTATTAAATGGTACAGTCCGTGCATTTATTTTCTATTTCAGAAATAAATAAAGAGAAAAAGGGACATTTATCTCATTATCCATATATATAATTTCAAATAATGCATGACTCCATTTATACACTCCTTTTACAATTTTTTTTTTAAATTCAGTAGAGAAATAGAATAGAGACATTAATCTCATATTTTCTTAATTTACCTGTTCATATATAGAATCTCAAATGTATGGCTTAAATAGTACGTACCTCAAAAATATGTTCCAGGTAAGTAATGTGTTTTTCTCAATGGGAGGCCCATTATTCTTGGCCTATCACTGAGACCCAACTCATTAAAGCCAGGGCTGAAGGGTGAAACAGAGGAGGTAGGTGCCATCTGGAGCACTTTTGGGTTTAACCATTTGTAAACTGTTTAACCTCTTACGATAAGACAGTGCTCAGGACTTCCACACACCTTAACATTTAATTGATTTCACAGGCCAAATGATTAAACACTCCTTACTAACAGGTCCTTAATAACAGACTCCATCAAAGAAAAGCTTTATCATGTATTTTGAACTAGGAGAAGCATTTTGTAACTTGGTTGTGGTGAGAATAAGTGTATGCATATATGTATATAAAATAACATAACATTGAAGAAGAAGAATAATAATAACACACTAAATATACACTGAACAAAATTATAAACGCAACACTTTTGTTTTTGCCCCCATTTTTCATGAGCTGAACCGGTGGTTGTGAAGCCGGTTGGATGTACTGCCAAATTCTCTGAAATGCCTTTTGGAGACGAATTATGGTAGAGAAATGAACATTCAATTCACGGGCAACGGCTCTGGTGGACATTCCTGCAGTCAGCATGCCAATTGCACGCTACCTCAAAACTTGCAACATCTGTGGCATTGTGCGGTGTGATAAAACTGCACATTTTAAAGTGGCCTTTTATTGTGGCCAGCCTAAGGCACACCTGTGCAGTAATCATGCTGTCTAATCAGCATCCTGATATGCCACACCTGTGAGGTGGATGGATTATCTCAGCAAAGGAGAAGTGCTCACTAACACAGATTTAGACAGATTTGTGAACAATATTTGAGAGAAAATAGGCCTTTTGTGTACATAGAAATAGTCTTAGATCTTTGAGCTTAGCTCATGAAAAATAGGGGCAAAAACAAAAGTGTTGCGTTTATAATTTTGTACAGTGTATAATAAAAATGCAACATTATACATATACTAAAAAGCAAAGACAGATGAAAAACAGTGATTATTTGGCTGCACTAATACTGACATTATGCAAATGGTCACATTTCTGGTCGACTAACGGCAGGCACTGTAGGGTTGTCAAAACTATGTATTGCATATCATCCTATTAATAAGATGTTTGCTTAAATGTGTTTAAAACCACGACTTAAAACAAATTAAAATAAGGATGAAATAGCCATATTTTAAAGTGAGTATTGTGATGTAAATAGGCAGTAGTGTAATTTTTATAGATTGTGAAACAGAACATTTTGAAAAAAACTTACCGTAATTTTCTTTTCCTTGGTATTCACTAATGGGTTAAGATCCTTCCTCTCAGCTGCTATGACATGAATATTCAAATTCAATTAAAGATACAAAAGGTCACATCTTCCTATTACCCTTAGTGATGAACCCAAATTAATCCAGAAAGGGAGGGATTGCTGATGCTGGATATTACCCAGGAAAAGTAAATTAAGATATTTTCAAAATTTCCTGTTTTCCTAACTAATCCATGTCCGCATCACTAATGGGACTTCCAGAGTTCAAAAAAGAGTGGGAAATAATTACCAAGTCAGGAATGGTTATATGCTATTAAATTTGCCTTGGGTGAATAGACACTTTTCTGGTCTTTGCCATTCTGTTTCTATCAGTTCTTTAACAGAAGAATGAACCGGGACAGATGTTTAGTTTCTCCACAATCTTTAGGAACGTGTCTCTGAGAGAGATGAGTGTATTCACTGTCTCCCCATCCAGATTATATGGGTATTCCCGAGTATCATCATAATCTGATGAGTCAGATTAATTAGAGATTTCTATATCGGACCGGGAACTACCCTTGGTCTTTTATTTTTCTTTGAGGAATTACTTTTAGAAGTCGCCTCCTTAATTCCAGCAGCCACAGCTTTAGATATAATTTCAGCCAGTCACGAACTGGGAACCTCAGCCAAAGTAGCGATAATGCGAAAGCAATATTTGTAAAAGTTCTTTCCTTCGTCTTATGTTATTTTCTCCTTGGACACTCCTTTTTTTCTCAGGTCGTTTTGGGCTGCAATATACATATATGTCCGTAGTAAGAATATATATAGGTTTGTATGTATATATCAGGGCCACTTAATATAGGTATAGCCAATGGCACACTTTTAAAATACATAAAAAGCTCACCTTATGCTTCTAATTTTGCTTCTTGAGGTGGAGGAAGAGGAAGCCATAATGTGAGGGCTGAAATTTTTTTTAAATCCATCTACATGTTACAAGAAATGACAAAAGAATATACCACAAAAGATAACAATTGTAGTGGATGGCCCTGGGCTGTCCTGAGAATTTCATGTATTTTTATGCATTCGTGTGAAAACAGCAAAGTTCTATGTATTTGATGTATTGTATTCGTTTGAATGTTAGGTAGTTTCATTCCCTTAGTTTGTTCGAATGAAACTACCGAACAGTCAGACCTCCCCTGTGTGAAGTGTGTCCTCAATTACCCGTTGCAACATTGTTGCGAACGGGTAATTGACAAGTTAAGTAGCCGTCCTTTGTTCTCATGGGTTTTTAAAACTCCAGAACAGCGGTGTTTTGCCGTCGAGTGTCTGGAACTCAAATCGGACACTCGATTAGGCGAACACCGCTGAAACCTCCACAAGCCCGGTCCGTTCGGTTCCTAACTACCGAACGGCCCCTCGTTCGGTAGATAGGAAGAACCGAACGAGGGGATCCAGGCGAACCCTCCCTAGCCTCTATAGCTAGAGGTTTTCGTGCCATTTATTCCCTGACTCCAGGACCGACCGCAGGGCCCATTCACATGGAACCGCATTCGGCTGGTTCACTCAGTGCGGTCGGTCATTTTATTCCCTCCATAAATTTCCCGAACCCCTGGTCTGATCTGGGTGATTTTTGGATATGTTGTTCACCCAGATCAGGGCTACCAGGGGATGTATGATTTAAAGGGGTACCCCTACGTTTAGGGGTACATCCAGAAACGGGGGGAATTGCTGTACTGGATAAGGGGATTATGATGCCGTCTGAGGGGAAGAGATGTGTGGGAGGTTACCAGGACAGGATTGGCTACTGTATTAATGAATGTAATCCCTCCCTTGCATGGGAGCATGCTTTAAAAGGCCAGTGTGGAATAAAGCTTTGAGTTCTGCTCCTGAAACTGTGTGTCGTCCAGTTATTGGGATTGCTGTTGGGATACTGCTGTGTTATTTTGCCTGCTGGAAACCTTGCCTGTGGATTTACAGTTTACTTGTTCCTGAGCCTCACTTGGATTATAAGCGGAGATAACCTGGGGAATATTGCATCTCCGCTACAACAATAATGAATGATATTTATAAATAAAGTATACTAAAAGGGATAAGGAAAGAAATAAACTTACCTTGCAGCAGAAAGTAGAGTAATTTGCAAATTTTAGGCAAGAAAAACGCTGATCATCCATATTTATATATCATCTGGAAGAGAGATCTGAAAGTCCTTTACGAGCTGTGACTATGGAAAAGAAACCGGTATCAGTAAAACACCCAGAAAGAAAGTTGCTGAAAACTGCGAAAATTAACGAGGCGTCCCAAAAACGTAGAGACTCAGTCAAAAAGAGAACAGACATAAAACGGTAATTTCAAAATAGATTAAATAAAGGAACAATTATAGCAAGGAGACAGATATAAAACGTGCCACTTACAGCTTCTTCATCACCTCAATGATTTAAAGAATTTTTTGATGGAAGAGGAAATATAACTTCAGTTACTATATACTGTAGCGGAGATACAATATTCCACAGATTATCTCTGCTTAAGATCTCAGGGAGGCACAGGAACAAGTAATTATAAATCCAAAAGGTTTCCAGCAAGTAAAATAATCCAACAGTATCCCAACAGCAAACCCAATAACTGGACGACACACAGCATCAGGAGCAGAACTGAAAACCTTTATTCCACAGTGGCCTTATATAGCATGCTCCCATGCAAGGGAGGGACTTTCATCAATTATTACAGTACCCAATCCGACAATAGTAACCTCCCACCCATCTCCTCCCCTCAGCCTGACTCATAATCCCCTTATGCTGTACACAAATTCCCCCAGTTTCTGGATGTACCCCTAAACCTAGGGGTACCCCTTTAAATGGCACATCCCCTGGTAGCCCTGATCTGGATGAGCAACATATCCAAAAATCACCCAGATCGGACCAGGGGTTCGGGAAATTTATGGAAGTACTAAAAAGACCGACCGCGCTGGAGAGAACAGCCGAATTGGGTTCCATGCGATGGGGCCCTGCAGTCGGTCCCAGTATAAGGGAATAAATTACACGAAAGGCTAAGGCTACAGAGATCAGGTAGGGTTCGCATGAATCCCCTCGTTCGGTTGTTTCTGTCTACCGAACGAGGGGCCGTTTGGTAGTTTGGAACGGAACAGACCGGGCTTGTGGAGGTCTCAGCGGTGTTCGCCTAGTCGAGTGTCCGATTTAAGTTCCAGGCACTCGACGGCAAAACACCGCTGTTCGGGAGTTTTAAAATGGCCGCCACCACGTGTTCGTTTCCTGAATGGCGGCCACCCCGCGAACAAAGGACCTACTGCATAGCTTGTTAATTACCAGTTCGCAACATTGTTGCAACGGGTAGTTGAAGGCACACTTCACACAGGGGAGGTCTGATTGTTCAGTAGTTTCATTCCCTTAGTTTATTCGAATGATTCTACCGAACAATCAGACGAATACACTTTATTTCAACACATAAAAAACCAGCAGTTTACACGAATGCAGTTATACACATGTAATTTTCAGGACAGCCCAGTGCCATCCGCTACATATACTAATATAGTAACCCTAACCCAGGGAGAACCAAACAGCTTGGGCTGATCTCTCTAGGGCAGTGATGGTGAACATTTTTGAGCCCGAGGGCCCAAACAGCAATACAAGCAAACCTTTTTTTCCTCAAAGTGCCAACATGGCAATTAAACCTGAATACTGAGGTTTAAGTTTAGAAAAAACAACTCATACAGTTGCCCTCCATTCCACCCACCAACGATGCAATAGCAGAGTAGGCGCCTGCCATTTTGGGAAGGCAGATGCCTACTCTGCATTGCCGCGTGGGGCCTAATGTTGCCGACTGGCACCAGCGGCTCCCCCCCAGTGACTAGAGTGACCACATTTCCTAACTGCCATTCAGGGACACTTACTTTCACGAGTGCATTTCATCAAATTTATACTTGAGACTGGCAAAAACATATCTGCCAGTGCATTTTTCAGTATTTCTGCAAACATTAACTGGCTACTTAGACACACACATACTCACAGATACTCACTGACACACACATATACACACATACACATGGGCAAACACACAAATTGCAATTTACATTTGTTGACCATCCTCTGCTCCCATACCTTTTGTTTGCAGGGAGGTTAATTTCTGGCTGATGATGATGGGAGTCTGAAGGAGACGCTGCAGAGTTCTCTCTCCTGCCTCCTCTTCCTCTCTTAGTTGCTTCTTCAGTGTCCTGTTAGCCCGCGCGGTCTGTATGCTGGGAATAAGTAACAGTCACTTCCTCCCAGCACTCTCTGCAACATTAAAGGGGCCTGGTCTGCCTAAGGGTTGCAGCACCCGACCGGGCCCCTGATGAGGTAGTTCCCCTTTGGTAGCGGCACTCATTTCTCGGGACAGGGAAATTGCCCCGTCGCCCCTTCCCCCCCCACCCCCCCCTTGCAGCGGTGGCGGCGTTGCAGCTCAGCTCAACTTATGACCGGGATCCGGGACAGACTCTCAAAATGTGGGACTGTCCCGGGCTATCTGGGACACGTGGGCACCCTACCGTCGACCTATGGCTGCATGCTTACAGAGAGGTCTTGGCGTGCCATAGGTTCGCCATTGCAGCTCTAGGGGGTGCATATTGAAAAACTTATGGCAAGGTGAACAAAATATAGAGCTGCCTAACAGGAGGACAGGAAAAAAAGACTAATGGTAATAAATGAGGTGTGACATTTTTTATCATCAATTTAATTTGAGTATTTCAGTCCTAGCAGCTGAGAGGGAGGAACTTAACCCATTAGTAATGCTGACATGGATTAGCCAGGAAAATTATGTTTGGAGGATGTGATTATTGAGTGCAGAATGTGAGTTCTTGTAGTTATAACACTGTTCTTGTCCTCCCTGCAGGCTACAGAAAAAGCTCAGAGCCTCTTGGTAAAGCATGCTAATCAGCCACTCATCGTAACCACAGTATCTGTGGAGTCTCTCTCTGTAAGTTAATACTTTGACCAGAATTTACTATACATGTTATAGGTTTACAATCGCCATTATAAACAGCTGGGTTGCAAAACCTTGTTTCCTATATTTCCATTGTGTGCAACAAAAATAGAATGACAGGGAACTTTTACTATTATTTGTGATATATGTGGAGTTTATTCACCAATCTCTAAATTGTAGAGAAATTAAATGTGAATTGCATCATTCATGCAAAAATAGGAAAGCTGTGACTACAGCAAATTTTACACTTAATTTCAATATAAGCTTAAGTTTACCTAATATGATGTTTGTTTTTTGATTTGCTACATTTTACACTAGAGACCTATGCCCTATTTGCCATGTACCTTTTGGATTCAAGAACAAGTCAGCGTTTAGTGAATACACCCCTCTGTCTAGTACAGGGAATTGCTGAAATGGTTAGTGGGTCAGAAAGGCAAGATTAAAAGTAAGAGGAGAGGTCGAGTATGAAGAAGGCGGGTGAAGAGAAGAAAATGTATATGTCATCTGCAGAAGAATGAGAATTGAAGCAATGAGAGTAAATTAGTCTTGCCAGGTGGCAGTGTACAGAGAGAAGACAAGGGGGTCAAAGAATGAGCCTTGCAGTACAACAACTGAAAGTGAGATGGATGGTGTGTACTGTTGAATGAGACCAACAATATAGAATGAGAATCCAGTATCCATAATGCCAAGGGTTGTGAGTGTAGACAGAAGGGATGAACAACTGTATAAAACACATCAGAGAGATCAAGGAGAATGAAAATGGAACCGATCTTGTAATTCTGAGATTGTGCAAAGATTGGGCAAGAAAGGAGTACAAAAGGAGTGCAGTTTCAGTTGAGTGGTCAGACTGAAAGCCAGATTAGATGGTCAGGAAAAATCATGGGAGCTGGTACGTAGCTGTTTGTGGATAGCACGCTTCGAGAGCTTGGAAAATGGGAGAGAAGGAAGATTGTTTGGAAGCTAGTAAATAGGCTAAGATTGATGAATGTTTTTGGAGAAGCGGAGTAACAACTGCCATTTTGAAGGAATCGAGATAATATCCAGAAGGGAGAGAGAGAGAGACTGAATATGGAGGACAAATAGGGTAGAGTAACAGGAAGGAGGGAATGTAAGATAGAATGCGGGAATGGTTCTCCAGTAGAGCAGGATTGTTTTCTGAAAGTATGAAGATCATTGATGTTGTGAAATCCAAGAAGGTAACTCAGTAAGTAGAGGGAGAGGATATAGGTGTACTTTGGGTAGCAAAGGTTGGAATAGCTGAGATTTTGTTTTTAAAGTGCACAGCTATACCAGATGCTATAAGGGGGATGCTGAAAAAGGGGATGGTCAGAGAAGGTTGTTCAAAGAAGCAGAAGGATGATGTGGATAAGGGGAAACAGTGGTAGTTAATTGTAGTAGGTCTTTTACAAACCTTAACAGAGATAGAATATTGCTTAAAATAAGAGAATAGTGGTACGGCAGATGGAGAGAGTGGGGACTTCCAGGAATGGTCAGAAGAACATAAAGTGCCTTGAGGTCATTGTTGAGCCAGGGAGATGATTTGGTTGAAGAGCAAATATATTGAGAGATGAATGGAGTGCATTGTTAAAAGAGGAAAGTGTAGCGTTAGGTGAGAGAGCAGAATAGGATGGAAGGGGGAGGTTGTGACGATAGACCATGGAAGCTAGTGTTGTGGGGTCAACCAAACTAAGCTTTCTATATGGAATGTGGGCAGCTTGAGAAGGTGCATGCAGAATAGGTAAAAGGGATTGGGATATAAATATATATAAGTGATGATCATCAGGTGCAATGTGCATGTTAGGGGGTATGACAGCATGATAGCCAAGATTTAAATGTGGTCAAGGGTTCCACTATGGATGTGTGTTTGGGGACATATTTCTGCTGCTCGGTCCTGAAACACATAGAAGCAATGTTTTAATTCACTTTAATGGCTGAAGGGGAAGGTAAAACTGGCTTAGATAAGCAGAATCAATGAACCAAAAACACAGCAGACATAAGTATATAAGACCAATAAAAGAGTAATTATTTTTGTGACTGGATAGCCACATTGCTTAGTAGTAATCTGAGTAATATTAAAATTAATATGTTAAATGAAGATTATTGCATAACAAGCAAACAAATTGACCATTGCATAAAAAGATGCAAAAGGATGAAACTAATCAGTTAAATGTTACACTAGAGCAGGGGTAGGCAACCTACGGCACTAGTGCCATGCACGGCACCCGAGGTGTCTTTCCACGGCACTCAAGGCTGCTAGAGCCAAACAGGCTCTGGCCTATCAGGAGTCTCAGTGAAACTTCAAAACTATATAATCCACACTGTAGTAGAGCAGCCTGCAGCTGCTGTTGCAGCTCCTGTCCTTGACCTGTATCTGGCCAGCCTGGTCCCCACTGGAACTCAGGGAAGCCACCCACACTGCTAGATATACACAGACCTGCAGAATAAGCCTCCCCTCTTACAAACAATACGAACAGCCCACACACAAACATACACATAATCCCCACAAACGCAACATCACTAACAATCCACATACATGCACACAACCCCGCATGCAGCCTCTCACATTCAATACCCCAAACAGCCCCCACACACTACCAAACAAACAATGTGACAAATCCATCCACACACAATTCCACAAGCAGCCCTCATACACAGCCCACATTCATGTGTATACAATATAATAGCTCATATACGCACAAATACTAGCGATACAAAGCAATTACAGTAAAAATAACACAAGCAGAATATGGCAGCATACACACCTCAATTTAGAAAAATAGGATCGGCACACTATGGGACATCACAATCCTATATCGGCACAGTGCTGCTAAAAGGTTGCCTACCCCTGCACTAGAGTATACAAAATAGAATAGTTGCATGAAAGTATTGCTAGTTGATAGTGCATTAGTTTCTTCCCATACCTTGGTAGTTTCTTAAATGAAAGAGTGACGGGCAAATCTGTGCCGTTCTGTGCTTGGTAGGTTCTTAAATTAACAAAGACTGAGGAGCAAAATTGTACAGGTCTGTGCTTGGTAGTTTCTAAAATTAACACAGTCTGAGGTAAATTTCTACAGGTCTTGGTAGTTTCCTAAATTAACACAGTGTGAGGGGCTAATTTATATAGTACTGTGCTTGGTAGTTTTCATCTGAAAATAGTTTTAGTATTTCTTTGACCAAGACTGATTTTAAACACATAGGAAGAGATTAAACATTCTTAATATGAGGATAACCTCCCTAAATCCTTTATGCGGTTTATATAATGTTCTGGATAACTGTCAGGTGACATTGAGGTAGATTTCAAATTCTATCGATCTTGTCTGCATTTTGCATTAATGTCCAACGATTACCTACACTATGTTTGTTTTCACAGACCTTTAGTATGGTCACCTACAATTGTCATTTTTATGGTAGTCACCAACAATTTCACAGAGCATGAACCCCCCGTCCTAATCTTTTACCTTGTGTGCCCTCTAGGTTCTAGTTAAGATGGTTAATCACATATGCGATAAGTCCCCAGGATCTGCAGTGATGCTTCTCAGTCAACAGCATGCAGACAAGGTGTTCTGTGCATGCCAAGTTCCAAAGGTAAACCTCCCTTACCATGTCTGCAAAACCGTGCCAAGAATGAACAACAGTGCCATACCTGCTTCTTTGTGTGTCTCTGCAGATGTAACATAATTATAAAATGTTTATTACTGGAAAATAGTGGCATTGAGATTTTGAAGATGTCATAAATCATGAGACCAACGTGGTATAATATATCTAAAAATCGTGTGTGTGTGTGTGTGTATATATATATATATATATATATATATATATATATATATATATATATATATATATATATATATATATATATATATATATATATATATAATATATTTATAGGATATAACCTCACAAAGAGCCTCCCACATGCAATACCCCAAGAATCCCCATAACACAAGCAGAATACGGCAACATACACACACATCAATTTAAAAAAAAATAGGATCCGCACACCAAGAGACTTCAAAGTTTTGTTTTGGCTTAGTACTACTAAAAGGTTTCTTACCCCTGGTATAGATTGTGCCCCTGCACTCACTGCTCAATTCTCTGCTATTTAGGAGTTAAATCACTTTTGTTTCTGTTTATGCAAACCTAGTTACACCCACCCTGGCTGTAACTCGCACAGCAAAAATTGTTTCCTTTTCAACTAAATGTAACTGCACAGTGTGTTTACGTTAGAATTTTTTATCTCCTGCTCTGTTAATTGAAATTTAATCACACACGGAAGGCTCCTGAAGACTTTAGCAGGCTATTAACAGTGCTGAAGATAAGAAATTCTAAATTAAACAGACTGTCTAATAAAGGCAGTTTAAGCATTAGATCTCTCTTTATAGGAAGTATGTAGTGAGACTGTGTAGATCACGCACATGCAAGGTGTGACTAGGGCTGCATTAAGAAAGCCTATAAAAGTGCACTCTTTCAAAAAAAGAGATGACCGCATTTGAACTTCGCTCACGTGACAATTCATATATAGCAAAATCACGATATGTGCAATATAGAAACTTTAGTGGCATAAAAACTTAGAAGCACCATTCCTTTCCACAGTAGACAGGAAATTAATCAATATTTTATGTTGTGTATATTCTTTGTATTTTATATTTTTTACAATTTTTTGAAATTATGAAATACTCCAAAAAATTATTTCATAAATTTAAAATAACATTTCATTACATTATATACATTTCTAAATGGTGTGTTATATTTTTAATAGATGTGGTTTTTTATATACCCTAAATTGTAAACCAAAATCTTCAGAAGAGTCGGGATATACATTGATCCCAATTTGTACTCTCAATCTCCCAGTCATTTTAAGGTGATTTTAAAGGGTTACTCCAAGCACCATTATCACTTCATTTACTTGAAGTGGTCTTGGTGTCTGTAGTCTGTATGTGGAGCATTTTGCTTTGAAATGCTGCACATAAAGAGATTGACCAATAAGCAGCCAGTGGTGTAACTCCACCTCCGGCAGTATCATTAGCCAGTTTAGAACAAAGTTTAGGGCTGGCTAATGTCAATTCTGTGCAAAATTGTCATCTGACACCAGCACTCATAGCATGCTGGTATCCAGACAACCAATGGTGGCATGGCCTTCAGCTATGTGCCACCCCTGTCTGTCTATCCTCCCCCTCCAGCAAGGGAGAGTGACATAAGGCAAGGAGAATAAGGCTGCCTGAAGAACTTGGATGTGACGAAGAAAGGTGAGTTTTAGCATTTATTTTTTTATTTGGGGTGGTGTAACTCCTCAGAAAGGATTACTCTAACAAAACTAATTTATCTTAATCTACTTTGTCATGATGATCTGTAGCACACTTCAGTAAATGTGTATAAGAGTTACCTTCTCGGTGCTGGACTCCTCCCAATAGTAAAACAATACTTCACAAAACATTATCCGCACTTGTACGTAATCCCAAACAATGTGCAAGAATAAATTCATAGAAAAATGCACATTATTTATATAACAAAATAAGTACAGATGGCATAATGTTGTGACAGCAATCCTCATATGTGCTAAAGTGGTCCAAACTTATAAGCTGAAAATATAATATTACGTAAATAATACAATTGAAAAAAATCAAAAAAGATCTAAGATTTAACCCTCTGGAACCACCAGCTAAGCTTCTATCAGACTTATTTGAGCAGTCAGACTATACCCATTTGGTAAATAAATGCCAAAAAAATAATCTATAAGACTCAGAGAAAAGCAATCCCCCCGGCAATTATTAAATGGAATCATGATCTTACCAAAGATATCACTATGAAAGAATGGAATAACTCCCTTAATACGTTATACAAAATCTGTCATTGTTTAAATATACATGAAACTCATTATAAAATATTAAACAGATGGTACAATACTCCCCATAAAATTGCAAAAATGTATCCTACAACCCCACTTAACTGCTGGAGATGCAATGAAAGGATTGCAGACTTCAAACATATTTTGTGGGACTGCTCGAAAATTAGACCTTTATGGGTTGAGTTAAATCAATATTTATCATCCATACTGGAAATAAGGATTGAGCTGACTTCGAGTATGGCTCTACTTCATATGGATATGACTGGCATCGATAAAGAATTTAGACCCATCATTTTACATATCCTAATGGCTGTTAAAACTTTAATAGCTAGGAATTGGAAATCTTCTATGGTAGATAACTGGGCTAAGATACATGCTCAAAGTATTACCCAATGTAAAATGGAAAGGGCCATTACTAATTTTGCACCAAATAAGGGACTTCAATACACACACTGGGATAAATGGATTAAAATAATAGAATCTAGATAGGGAGGCTCCCCTCTTGTCGGATTTTTCCCGTGTTATTTATTTATATATATATATATTTATTTATTATTTTTTGCCGCACCACGACCTGAGCAAATGTTTTATGTATGTGCGTCATTTGGTTCGTTAATTCATCATGTATTTGAAAGTATTTTTTGTAATAGTGTTAAGATAAAATTTAAAGAAAGAAATAGAAATTAACCAGATAAGGACAGATAGAGAAAATGAAAAATACATATGATGATTTGGTATTAGATGACCCTATCTACGACTCCGCAAGAAATTAAATAACTAATACCATATTCTGATGTAATAATAATAAAAAAATTTAAAAAAGAATCAAAAGAAGAAGGAAAATAATTATACCAGAAAGCAGGACCACCTGCAGCTGCTGGACAGGGGAGAGACAACCCAGAAAAACGACCCAGAAAAAAGGTTAGTGAAGCCCTGGACGTGTTTCGTACCCCTCCTGGTGCTTTCTCAACTTGGGCATTCAAAGGAATTCCTAAGTATATATAAGTATATAAAGGAAGTGAATGCAAGAAAAGGCTGATCTATCAAGAATCATTCTCTCAAAACCAGGTGAACAAAGAAGACACCATACTTTAATCCCCAATCCTGAAAGTGAAGCAAACACCTCCTCCAAAAGAAAAACTTAAAGAAACCCCATCAATGTTATGTATAGCATAACAAAAAAATTATTGAAATCAAAAAGAACATGAGAACAGCAAGTAGAAAATAGATTTAACTGACATTCTTCTTTCTTATGCATATGCTTTTGTATAAGAAAGAAGTAACTAGTAACAGGCTAATCTCAGGTTTCATTAGGTACCCGGGGCACTCCCCTGTCAAGTGTGGCCAGAATTAGTGGCCCCATGCTCACAGGTGAACTGTATGCAGCAATGAAAGTGAGAGCTCAGCCAGCACTTTAAATGGACATTTAAATCCCCTGATGCTACAACTTGGTGTGAGCAGGGTTAAATCTGCTTTCCAATCCATCTAGATACAGTTTCTGTGATTATCCTTTCGGGACAAGCGCTACCAGTTCATCTCACTGCCCTTGTGGCCAGCCGCAGGTCTCAGAATGTTTACTTTGGTTGCCTGTTGGCACTGATTTGTACCAGAGGAAGTGTGGCAGCCCTCTTTCTTAATCATACCTCCTCTCACAAAATCCCCCCCTCTGCCTGTGATACAATTACCTTACACAATGGGTAATGTAATTATCACAGGCAGAGAAATACAGTTTTTCCACATTATTCATAATTTTAAAAGTATGCATCACATTCACTTTTCAGAATCAGCATACTCCAAATACAAACATACGTCAAAATCATACAAATTGGTCCAGTGGTTCAAAAGATAGATCATAGTCCTTTGTGACCAAATGAAGCATGGCTTTTCTGCCCAAAACCAGTTCCACAGAGTCTTCTATCCTGGAGATAAGTGGGAAGTAATCCAATTATCTCCAAGGACAGAGGCAAAACTCCATTGAACACATGGCAGCAAAAGACAATAAAATACATAAAAATATATAACTGTGCAGCCATTGCATAAAACAGGTACATTCAACATATCCCCAGATAGCTCAGACCTGAGCGCACATTATTACCGAATGGCGCTCAGATCACACACATACAGTTCAATTGCCATGGAGACAAAGTCTTTCCCATAGTCTTTCATTATACAAATGGGCTCCATGACATAGCTATCTGGGGTATCACCGCTCAAACAGGGCAAGCACCGAATGACCCGGCTTTTGTGTCTTTGCAGGGGAAAATCAAGCGTTTCAACATGGGGCCATAGTCTAAAGGCAGCTGGCGAGCAACCAGGCTCCTCCAATGCACAGTGGGGAGATTGGTCTTGTCACAGAGTTCTATTTGTAGTGGTTTCATATAGAGAGGGGGGCTTTGGGTGACTAGCAGGACATTGTTCCTAAGAAACCTCAGGAACTTTCAATTCCTCTTTATTCACTTTTTGGAGGATGAGGAAACAAAATATAATTCTAGATTTATTTCTTTAGCTTCCCTTTACATGGTGGAAAACTTTGATCTAATTTTTTTTTTTTCATGATATGGGGTGGGGGAAGGGGGCGACGATATGGTTCCTCGCCAAGGGTGCTGGAGACCCTAGTTACGCCTCTGGGTCTTTACTCTCTTTAGGCTGGTTGTTATAGGTGCCGCAAGCGAATCTTAAGGGAATGACTCTTGCTCTAAGATTGAATTGAACAGATTCAGCAAACGAGGCATTTGGTATCCCTGAAGTTTTTATAATATTTAAGCGATAGCCCATTTGGGCCATGTGCTCTGCCAGTTTTAGATTTCTTAATGGCCGCCTGCAGCTCTTCCATTGTGAACTTTGCATCAAGTGCCTATGTTTTTGCCATGTCTTTTCTTGTCTTAAATAAAAACCACAATTTGCTGCCTTTAGAACTTGGAACGCACCACGGGCATTCATATAGTGTGAGAAATCCAGTGCAATAGGGTCTAACAGCGCATTATCTTTGTGCTTGAGTGGAGTGCAGACATGGCTCCATCTTAAATAGGCACCATTGGGCATATTACACAGTCTGGCACGGTGTAACCATTGCTTATTGATATTTTAGGATACATTTGCATTATACACTATGTGTTGTATTTTTTTATTGTTCTAGGATCTACATTTGTAGAAGAAACAGCAGTATCTCTGTTTATAAGTATTCTATTTATTTATTGTACACATTATAAGGGTGCGATTCACATTGTGATTTGTCACACTGTGTATGTTTTATTATTTACTGTATGTGTTCCATGGAAAGGTGAAATCACTATATCCCTCCCTAATTTTGAATAAAAAATGTTTGCGTACATTTCTGATGTCTTGTCATTACTGGGGATATTGTGATGGTGCAATGTCTTTTTAGGACAAAGTAGTAAAAGTGTGAAGTGTACCCAAAATTGTAAAACCTTGGGTACATTTGGTAAGCAGTCAGTCTTGCTGGAGATAAGAAGCAACACCCACAGGTATGTAATTCTGCAGGTGGTTTTTGAGGTGTACTCATTTTAACAGAATATCAATTCTATAACAATGTCAGACTATTACAGTTTTATAAAACTAATATATTTTTATTTCTTCATTCTCTAGGACTTGGGTTTCAAAATGTCTGCTGCTGAGTGGGCCTCGTCTGTGTGCTTGGAAATGGGAGGTAACGCTGGGGGCTCAGACATTGTTGCTAAAGGAACAGGCACTAGCCAAAATCTAGACCACATTATTAAATCATCTCTAAACTTTGCCCAGAGAACGCTCTAAATCACATTCTACACGCATGGGAAAAGGTGCTTTGTATATTTATCTCCGAGAATAATGTATTCATCTTTAACTCTGAGAAATTAGACATCAGCAAGACTGTGCTGGGTACAACAGTAATGCCTAATGTCAGAAGCAGTTAATACATTTAATATTTAATAGAAACCAAGATAGATTTTAAATGATCTACCATTACAATGACTGCTTTACTACCACAACTACTGTGTTGTTACTTGGACTCTGGATGAGATGGATGTGAAGATTATTTTATCACTCTGTTAAATATACAATATGGACACAGAGAAGACTGGTCAAATTTATACTGAAGGACTCTATCTCCTGTAACAATTACTCCATATTTAATTTGGATATAGAGCGTGCAGATTTGTCATAATGACATTATTAGGCTGGTTTCGTTTCAGTGAAATATTTTTCACAAACCTCTAAACTGCCAAGGTTAGCCATCAATGTTTTTAATGGTAGACAAAGATTAATCATATGAAAATTTGCCAGATAGTGGGTTTTCCTTTTATTCAGTTGTCTTGACCAACATGTCATGTAGATGGCTAAACAGTTATTAGAGAAACAAGTATTTATCCAGCTTCATTCTGTTTGCCTCTGTCACCTTTGGACTTTTTTTGAAGTGAACCTCCAATGTGCAAGACCAAGACTGTGCTACATTCTTGTGCCATGGGATTCAATATTCAATATTCTCCTGAGAAGATGGCGTGTCAGCTTTTCTAAAGTGTAAGAAATATATACTTTGGTTTAACAGTTGGAATAGGCACATGAGACAAGCTCCGTGCAAAAACGCTCCTAATCAACCTAAATTTGGGCAAAAACCCACCAAATCGACGATTAAACGACTTAGGGAAGTGAGCACTTAAATGCAGAGCCCAGCGACAACTATCCCGACCGAAATCGGAGGCATCTAACCGGAGATAGACCCGAGGCCTACTCAGACAAGGCGAGGGAGGTGCCTGATATCCATACCACCTGCAGCCATTCACTTGAAGGTCTCCCCGGTACACTTCCCCCCCCCCCTGCCGGTGAGGGATATCCCGGTATTTCAAGCTTGAGACACAGCGGCAAAACCAAAGCGAGAACTGTCCCACGCGGCCGGCACAGCTCCAGCAACCACCAGGCCACTAGGACGCAGCAAAGATGGCCGCCCATCGAGGACCCCAAAAGCAGAGCACATACGCCCAACCATCCACACACCCCCTGCGGGAATTTGACCGGCTTTGCGAGAGCCTCTGGACAATGCTGCGCGAACGCGGAATGGCTTACCGCCGGGCAGCAAAACTAGTGGCTACATGGATTCGTCCAGTGACCCGCCGGCGCCATTATAGACACCCACCACAAGCATCGGGGAAGGCCGCCAGGCTACGCAAACACCGCCGCTCTCATGGGCGGGAAACAACGCCATGTTCCATGGGCGACCGCACCTGCCCCCACATTAAGGGGACAAAGACCATTAAACCAGCCTTCCACGCCAGCTACTCACCTGACCCGAGAACCGGCGCTCGGCGGAGCTTGAACCCGTCCCTCCAAGCTACTACCGCAAACTGGGGAGAGGCACAGCTAAACATGCCACTGAAAGCTGCTGGAGCGGAGTCCCAGTCCAGGGGCGCCTTCGAGGAGTCAAACGTCGATGGCAAGAGACACGTTCAAGCAACGGGCATCGGCTAAAGGCCTACCTTTGTGCCCCTCAAGTGGGCATGCCTCACCTGCATATGGAGGGCACGCTTACAGTCCTCGATGTGCGGACTACCAGCATCAAGTAACCACAACATTTCTCTTTAGTTGCTACCGTAGGGACAGAATGTTATCAATGACTCTTTACCTTAATAGCTAATGCCAGCTTGACTTTTCTTTACACACATACTGCATTAAAAATAGTGAGCCATGTAGAGATGGCTCCATACCTTCGAAACATGAGCATGACAAGCAACGTTTTATTATAGAGTTTTACCCCTCATGCCTAGCCAGCCTCTCTGAGCTACCAAAACAAGTTCTATAGCTTAGACATGAGGAACAAGCCTTTATCCCATGGTTATCTACTTGAAGCTTGTTGTATTTTCACCCAGTATAGCACATTTAAAATTACATTAACATAATGACTCTGCATAGGCAGACACCGCGATAGATGTGTTTAGCTCAGTCATATAATTCCATGTCTTAGCCTGTTTTCCTTTTATTGTGACTACTGGGTAATGCTTCCTAGTTAGCCAAGAAAAGTTACCTTTTGTTTTTTATGAAGCCCAGGGGAAAATCCTGTTTACCTATCTGTTAAAAAATGTGTGCAGTACCTTTCTATTCCACAAGCCTGTTTTAACAATGTCACCCACTCTACTTGTTATTGCTATTGTGGCACAACAAGCGACTGTATTAACTGAATGCACCACAAAAATAAAGAATTTAAAATAAAAATTAACAGTTGGAATAAAGACCAATGTAAGTAATTGCATCCATTTCATCCATTTTGTCAGTGCAAGTTACAGGCTATTTACTCAAATGTTGAAATGAGGACATTAACTGACATATGTGCACAGCTTGCATGGTGCTAGGAGAAAACTTTGCATAAGTGACAAGGTACAGCTGCAAGCAATAAAATGACCATAATGCCATCAAACTTTTTTCAAAGAAAGAAAGGTATTCTTTTGAGAATGAACTGTACGGAGAATCTGAGCAGGAGGTGTTCATGATCAGTGGCACAGAGGGATCTAAACAACAGGTGAAGCAGCCTGAGAGAGCATTAACAAATCATGTCTGTTAGGTCCATTCACAGAGCAATGCTTAGCTATCTGACATTTCAAGAAAACAACTTACTCAAAATCTTTGTGAAGAGCAGCAGAACTGAGTTTATTAAAAAAAAATTCTACCCCTTGTTTCCTTGTATTTTTATAAAAATTAAAGACAGATGACATGTGCACATGCTTCAGTGGGTGATTCTCTTAATGATGCCATAATTTTCCTTCTTAATATTATGTCTTAGGAATTTATATTAAGAGTTCAAATAAAAAAAATTAAAAAAAAGATTAATAAATTGAAAGCCAAAGTAGCTTGTTGACCTTTCTTGTAGTACACAATAGCACAGATAGCGGGCAAGCAATGTATGGTCCCCGAGAGAGTTACACATCTGATTTTGTAAACTCAATAAACACAGGGCAGTGTGAATGCAGTACCCCACTACTATAAACCGTTCATTAAAAATTTAACATATTAAAATACCTACATTATCATTAGCAACTTCCTTAATTGGCATGGCCACTCATTGACAGGCTGCCTGCCCCTTCCCGAGCCTTCAGGACAATGCAGGGAGCACTGTTGAAGCATCCCCTGCATGGCCCTAGTACCCGCGGCACGGCCCGAATGCATCTAATGATGTGCTTGTGCTGTGTTGCGCATTCTCTACAGACAAAACACATTACAAATATATATGTTGATTTCTAATTTTGCTTCTATGCAAAGTATAAAAATATTGTCAGAGTTTAAAAAAAGAACTGTCAGTGACAATTTTCTACCTAACACCAGCAAACGTTATAACAGCATCTACTGGCTTAAATTAAAAAGCTAAATATGTTAATAAAAAACTAATTTACCTTTGCTGCATTTCAACAGTTTTTGGTTTTTCTGTGTTTTGTTCTTGGTGACTTCCTCAACTGATGCATCAAACAGAGAAACGCTATACATTGCATTTTCTTTAGCCGTGCTGTTCGCATATGTGCCTTTTCCCTTTTTTTTGGCACTGCAATAGTTACTTTGGCAAGTTTTGAATAATTTAAACGAAGTATTGGCGCAAAAAATGACTAGCTAGCCTCAATGGAGCTGCAGACCATGTGTCTTACGATTTCTGGCCAACCAGAGCGTTGCTGCGAGTTACCAAAGCAACACTCTAAAACTGGCTGAGACCATGACACAGTCTGCAGCTCTGCAACTGGAGGAGCTGCAGAACAGATATCATGGCCATTGGACCACCAGGGAATGGATTTTTTTTTTTTTTGGTTTAAAAAAAGGTATTTTAGCTGCTTACTGAAACAGCCTCCAAACTTTGTAGTGTCACCCTCACCCACCCCATTCCACACAATATCACCCCCACACATACACTGGCACCACTCTTACATCCGCACACGCTGCCACCCCCAGCTCCCCCCTCCATCCCACACATACACACTGTCATCCCCCTACACACAGTCACCCCCCCACACATACACACGGTCACTCCCCTACACACTCTGTCAGCTCCCTACACCCAGCTACATTCACATTAACTACTCCTAATCCTGTCGCTCTCATCCCTTGGAACCATACCAAACTCATCTGCCCTCGCCCTGTCACACTCACACTATCACATTAATCTCACATCCTCTCACGTTTAACTTTCCTCACATTGTCATTGTCACAATCACCTTCTCACCCATCATGACACTCGCCCCCCTTCACCATGCCACAATCACTCTATCTTAACACTTCCAATTCTGTCCTCCAACGTGCCAAATCTCCCCAACTCTGTTGCATTAACTCCCCTTAATCCTGTCACACTTCCTCCTGTTGTTTTATATCTCTCAACCCTTAGTGACTTGCCTTGTGCTATTTTGCACAATTTTTCTAATAAAAAAGAACTTTGTAAAGGATACTGCCAAGTGGCATCTACACTTATCTGAAATTCATCCTTGGTTTTCGTAATTGTTGGACTGCAGACAAAGTCAGATGACACCACGGTTGGTTCTTAAAGAGTTTGTTTGATAGGTACACCTATGATTTTGCAGGGGATAATCAAAATTGAAATTAATAAAGCTTACGAATATCCATATTCAGGTATTGTACTGGAGGATTGGAGGAAGGCAGATGTCGTTCCAATATTTAAAAAGGGTTCAAAATCCTTGCCGGGAAATTATAGACCTGTGAACTTAACTTCTATGACAAGGAAATTTGAAGGGCTATTAAGGGCTAATATTCAGGAATTCATTGGGAAGCACTTTGTTATTAGCAATAATCAG